GATGAGTGAGGCTAATGATCCCATTGTTGGGCTAAACACTAGGTGTGGTCATTAAATAAATTATACTGATTTCCACAGAGGAATTTATGAAACAGAACACAGGGTAGTTCCTGAAGAGGAATTTCAAGTATGCATGAAGTAGAGAAAACATAATCAGATTAAGTACCTACCCATAGAGGATGACTATTTTGAGTACAAGTCATTCACATGCCTAGGTTTTAGGCATATTTCAAAGTAAGCATCTTCAGAATCTTATTAATGACTTTGTGTATATCATTGTTTCCAGGTGGTAATATTTATATCAGCCTCTATTGCAATAAACAGAAATTGTAAATGATGAGTAGGCAAGAATTGGTCTAGGAGTTTGGTCCTTTAATTTAAGTTCATATTGATTAAATCAGTTTCTGTTTGATCTTAATTTAATTTTTCTCCATTGTCTTCTGTTCATAAGTCTAGAGATGAATGTGTATGTGCGTAAATGTACATAAGAAATACAATAAATTTTTAAAGACACAGAGTCCATGTACCATATATACTCTCTAAGCCTGATTTTTTTTTTTGGTTACCTAGGTGCCTCTGCACAGTTACTACACAATAGTTACCAATCGCTAATAAAAATGACTGTTAAGTTCCTATGCAATATAAACTACTGTATAAAGGCTAAGCAATAAATCATTTACTGCTTACTCTGAGCAAATGGAAACCTTGTTTTGCCAATATAAACAAGACCTCCTCTTATCCTATACTTTATAGTGGTATTATTTTGAAATCACAAGTCCCAATAGATTGTCACAACAGGAACAACCATTATCTGATTTGCTCCTCTTTATGGTATTAACAATGTTCTAATGTTGTGAAGCACCTTAACCAAGTAACATTTGATGTTTTGAGAAACATGCGGATGTTAGCCACATTTGTAAGACAGCACAACCTAGAGCGATAGAACTGGTGAGTGAGGCAGAAGGAAAGTGAACACCGTTGCAGCAGAGCAGTGACCAAGACTGGAATTTGGCTTAAGGGAAGTTGGCAGAAGGTAGGTTTGGCAGGGTAGCGAAAACCATGCTTCATCTTGGAAATCTGTGAGCTACTGCACACAAGACAAGCTGCTAAGCTAATTATGAAACAATAAGATTTGGGACAAATAAGAATTTTTTTAAAGACTATTTTTAAAGCATTTCTAAAAGCAGACCATACATAAGCTTTTGAAACCTTAGGAATACTTCATCATTTTTTGAAATATAAAGTTCAACTTTATTAAACATATGGGTTACCTTGAAATTATCCAGAATATTAAAATTAATTTGAAAATAATTAAAATACAGAAAAACTTCAAGTGTGCGTCCAAGTTCTGGGTAGCATTAATATGATATAAAAATTGCTGAGAAAATTTACAGTGAACAGGTGTGTGAAATAATTGAGGGTAAAAAAGTTCAGACATTAATTAGCAAGAATTATGAATTTTCATGTTAGGTTGTACTCAAGTTGATGTATTTTAAAGCATATGTAGGTATATATATATATATATATATATGAAATAGTTTAAAGCTTGGATACACATGGAAAACAAAACTTTATTCATGATATTCTGTACTTTTGTTATCAATCACCTGATCAGACATGGAAAGAGAAGAAAAATGTCTAAATTAAAAGAAAAAATAATTCTAAACATTTTGGAAGTTTATTCAGTAAGTTTTGCTAGTGGTGTTGAAATGTTCTCATTTCAAATACAGCAAAATAAAGACATGCACTTAAAGAATGTCTCTACTGAGACTTGGGGAGAAAAGGGATAAATATGCCAAAAATAATACCCTAATTTCTGCACTCAAAGAATTTATGGTGGGGAGGGAAGCCAGGCCAAAATTAAAAAGCATAATGTTAGAAAATAATGAGACAAATGCTATTAAAGAAACATATATTAATAGAAGATGTGACAAAGACATAAGGACTTTACCCTGGGTTGGGAAGTGTGGTGCGATCTGGGTATTTATCAGGTAAGATTAGTGGAAAATATTTTAGACAAAGAGAAGAGGATGTATAAAGCTTCAGAATTATAAACAAGAGTACTGTACTGGTGTTGTCAGGATTTGACAATACTCAAAAGAGAACTGCCATAAAAAAATCTAAAAGGTGGGAGAGACATTGGAACCAGGCTATGGAATAAGCTGAACAGACTTTGATAAAAGTATTAGTGAAAGCTTGAAGAGGCTTGAAGAGTGTTTCATGACATCTTAATGGTCGTTGAGGAGGTTGAGAGTGAGAGTTTGAAGAAAAGTGAAGAAAATTTTATTTGAAACTGGAGAAAAAAATTCGTTATATGGTGGTAGAAAGTTTAGCAACACTGTCACCTGCAATAATGGGAAAAGTAAAAAATTTACCTAATTAACTGTGTCATGGAACAAAGCATGCTTCCAAAGAGTGCTGAAAGTCTCCCATGTTTCTTTTTGCTGCTTGTAATAAAACATGAGAAGAGAGGGATAACATAAAGAGAGGGAAAGACTTTTGAAGAAAAAATGATTTTTTAAAAAAGATTCCAACCTCTAAGGACAACAGATGGTGCTACAATTAAGAAATGACTTCTAGGTAAAGATCAAATCCAGGACACTCTAAAGAAAACATGGTCTAAATATGAAAGCCAAGAATTTAAAATTATTTGTTAAGACCTCAGAAATATTCAAGACAGTGCATTAGAGAATTATTCAGTCAAATGATAAGGCTTCTAAGGTGTTTGAGGGTGTTGTCCCTCAATAGGTTCAGCAGAAGTTCAAGGTAAAGAAGAGCGTATCTTGAATGGTGAGTGTAATCCTTGTCTAATGGAGTGAACCCCAGCAAAACTCACAGGAGGCCTAGAAAGTTTTGACTTATGTTATTTGAAGCACCACCAGTTTGGACAGAAACAGGCAACGATCGTAAAGAGAAAAGATGCCTTTGTGCTCCCAAACTTCCACCACCAGGAAGTAAATTGAGAAACCTACACACACAGACTAACCTTCATGGAAAAGGGAGAATGACTCAGAAGATAAAAGCAAGAGTCCAGAGGGAGGATCCAGGAGTGGGTGACTGTACCTTGCATGGAGTGGGACATGTGTCATTGTGGAGCCAGGGATAGACAATGATCACTGACCTGCAAAGTTGTCCCCAGTGATTCTCACTTCCTGGGGGATGCCAGGAAGCCGAATCCTTATCGGGGTGCCTGTGTCTGTCAGGGTGGACCAGGGAAGTGGCAGGGAAGTGCTCAGGGGGTGGCAGGTGTATCCTGCCAGAAGAGCCCATTCTCTCTGACACACTAAATGCTAGACTCGTGTTAGAATGTTTTAGAGGTCTCTAGAAATAACCAGGTGAGCTCTGAGGTCCTAAGCAGCTAAATCCAGATGAGCATCTTTCATGAGACCCTATGTCCTCATGGTACTGTCTGGAGAGCACTGATTACAAGCTCTTGGGGAAACCCTAAATTAGGAGCAGGAGAGAGAAATGACTGAAGGATGAGCAGCGGGAACCAGTCTTCCTAATGGCTCAAGATCATGGGGGGTGGGGGGACTGGCATCCCCTTTCCAAATTGGGAGTGGGAAGGCAAGTGGTGAAGGAATTCAGCACCCTCCCTCTGTGGCCATGGTGAAGGAGATGCCCCCCCACCCCACCGCCATCCACCTTACCCCGGGAGAGGCCAAGAAGGGCCAGGGAAGAAGAAGATGGCTGACCCTTCTCTCTGAGTTGCAGGCCCTGAGACTCTAGCACTGAGAATCTGTTCTGGAAATGGCTGGGGTCATCTTTTGGGAACTGCACCAATGATGGCGGAAGGGCCAAGAAGATTTCCTCACTTTGGGGAAGAAATCAGAATGCCTCAGCTAGAAGTCCAAGTGGGAAAAGACTGGGTTCAAGGCAAGATTGCTTCATGTGAGAACACAAAGCCCTGTGCCTCCCTGCTGCTTGCAATACGGGCAATAGAAAACCCAGTGGGGCTGCCTCAAGCCAGACCAGGGTCGGAGGTCTTGCTACCGATGGGAGAGTTGATCACTGCTGGGCTGAGATGGGAGTGCTGGCCTAGATCCACGCGTCAACCACAGACTCACATGCAGGCCTGGGAGAGAACAGTCCCATCTCCAGACAAGAAATGGGCCCAGAAAGTGATGCAATGGCCTATGGTGGTTGGTTTATACTGGGGTCCTTCAGCGTTGGGACTTTTGAAGCAGACACTTTTCAGTGTTTAAGGAATAATCACTAACAGACATGAAAGGGGTTGAATTGCTACTAATTGCCTTAATAATTTATTAAATATCCTCTGGAACTAGACACTTCACATAAATCTCAGTCAATATTTGTGTGTTAATAGGGAAAAAAACACCCTGAACCTTGTCTTGGTACATCAGAACCACCATGTTTTCAAATGGGAGAGTTGTTTTTCCCCAATGTGGCTGGCCAGTGTTACTGTGGACAGGTCTGGGGCCACATAAGTGTGAAGCTCTTTTAGATAGCTTTGGTTCTGAGTGTCCCAGGAATTGACATGTGAGACCTGAAGTAAAGGAGTTTGCATTGTATTTGCCAAGTTCACATCTGATATGGTTTGGCTGTGTCCCTGCCCAAATTTCATGTGGAATCGTCATCCCCAGTGTTCAAGGAGGGGCCTGGTGGGAGGTGACGGGATCATGGGGGTGATGTTTCTCTTGCTGTTCTTGTGATAGTGAGTGAGTTCTCATGAGATCTGGTGGTTTGAAAGTGTGTAGCTCCTCCCCCTCACCTCCCCTTTTGCGCGCTCTCTCTCTCTCTCTCTCCCTCCCTCCCTCCCTCCCCTGCTCTGGCCATGTGAAGACCGTGCCTGCTTCCCTTCACCTTCTGCCATGGCTGTAAGTTTCCTGAGGCCTCCTGAGAAGCAGAAGCCTGTACAGCTTGCAGAACCATGAGCCGATTAAACCTCTTTTCTTCATGAATTACCCAGTCTCAGCTAGTTCTTTAGAGTAATGTGAGAATGGACTAATACAACATCATTGAATGAGTGAGCCCATTAGTCAAAAGATAAATAAGGTCCATGTTTATTCTTCAATATAATACATATACATGACTGCTAACATGTCTTTATAGAGCAAAGAAAAGCAGCCGGATGAAAGCGAGTTCAGAAATTTAAAATATACATCATAGACACAATCACCACATTATGAATTCTTTTTTTATCTCTTACCAACACCAGTAAACCTAGTCATAAAGACTGACACATCTATCCGCTGAGATGACAGCAAAACACACATTAGGCCACATATGAACGCTCACAAAGCAGGTGCTTTCTGCTTTTCTAAATGAGTAGCAGTGGTTGAGTTACAAGCCTTCACGGAAGGTGAAACTGCCCATAGAAAGAAAGACCACCTATACAAAGCACAGCCCACTAAAATGGAGCAAAAAGAAACACAGAACGCTTCTAATTGAGAAACTGCAGACTCCAAGCTATGTAAGGAAGTCATCTTAATGCAGAAACACAACATCTAATAAATCCAGTAACCCACTTCCCTTTAGGACAGATGGAAAGTTGCCTTCTGGTAAGAAAATGTCTTAATCTCAAAAAGGCTTTCAGGGAGCATGGTGATGGATAAGAAGACAAACTTTGATTCTAACTTAAGAAAAAGGAAAGAAGTAAAAAAAATGTAAAAGAGAGTGCAAAAGCAAGGGAAAGCTTTGTGGATACTGGGAAGTGGATCCTGGTGACGCTGCAGCTCACAGAGACGACAGGATGGCCAAGGGACAGGAAAGAACCAAGTCCGAGGACCACAGCCCTCCGGGGGCCTGAGGCTGCCTCTCAATTGCACTTTTACAAGTGGATTTTCAACCAGGTTTCTGTCGTTTGGCCCCCAGCACAAACTAACCCAGTAAACACATGCTCACTGGCACCCCATGCTGGGCGGCTGGGGAGGGGCAGAGGAAGCAGAAGGGACGAAAAAGGAATGAAATAAAGAGCTGATTCTGTTCCTAGTATCAAATCCATATTTTGATTCTTAAAAAAAAAGATTCTAGCTAATTTCCATAAAATGGATAAAAATTAAGCATTCACACATCTTTCCAAACATACATCAAAGCAAGCCACAACAATGGCAACCTGCCTACTGACACTTTTGAGGAAAGAAGGCAAATTAATATCAAGTCAGACAAAATAACTGAAAACAAACTTATGGCCCTCAACAGACATGAGTGTAACCAACTTCAACCTAGAAATTGCTCCCCAGATTAGGTCAGGTGAGAGTCTTCCAAAATTTCAACTGTAACAAATGGGGATATATGCCCCCCTGATTTTTAAATAGCATCAGATTGTGGGTAAGTGTTAGTGTCTTCCAGATACCAATGCGGCATGCCTCCCCTGAATAACTTGCGAGTTTTATTTCTCTTTAGGCAGTGGGAAGTGCCACATCAGTGCTTAATTTCCTCCATTTGCTAAAGAAACTGGGAACTGCCTAGTGAGTGAGCAAAGCCATAGCATCCATTAAGAGGGTGGAGGAGAAATACAGCCTCCCAAATCCTAATGACCTGTTGGAAAAATTGATCTCCATAGCCCTGGTCTAGCCAGACTCAAGCGTCTCTGAGTCCGTGTTCACATCTGGCTTGATTCCTCGGCTTTGCAAAGCCGCCTTTTCCCATTAGAGCAGCAATCTACCTAGTTACCAGTTCTCGCTGGAGCAGCCACACAAAGGCATGGAGGTGGGGGTGGGCAGGATGAACACTAGACTGATAATCTCTCATTTCAAGTAACTCTAGACTGTAATCATCAACTCTGCAATGCAAACTACCCTCAGCACTCATATAAAAGGCACCCTGCTGGCATGGGGATGCCTTCCCATTCCAAATGTTGAAATTTAACTACAGAATCAAACAAGACCCATTTTGAAAGTAGAGTCTCCTTTCTAAACCTCAAAACAAAACAAAACAAAACTCACACCCACTCACTGCAGGGTCATCAGTGGATTAACTTGGCAAAGAAAGCATGCCTGCATTTGACCTGAGCTGTCTCTTCCATGTGTGGCAGGGTCTGGGATCTGCCAGTCTGAGTCAGAAGGGAAGGTGGATGCAAATAGCACATCATGCAAAAGACCTCATGCTCGATTTGGTAGAGAATCCACACCACAGGGCAGAAAACGCCCTTCCACGAGGGGCTTCAAATCAGACCCTTGTGTCCTGTTTAGCATTTGAGTGGAGGCCAGCTCTCTGTGGTTTGACTGAATATTAATGCATGCACTGGCTTGTGTTTTTCTAGACTCAATGAATAGCATCAGCTAAAGATAGCACAGTAATATAACACTTCAGTCCCAGGGTTGTGTATGCATGTGTGTGTGTGTGTGCGTGTGTGTGCGTGTGTGCATGTTTTAAGGAAACTAAACATTTTAAGCATAGTCACATAATAGGAACATAAGAAACCAACCTTGGATAAATGCCAGACCAAAGGAGAAAAAGATATGCCTTCTAATGTAAAAGCAAAGGCTAGAGAGGAGTCAGTTTTGTAACTAGTACGACCACAAAATTTGCATGTGGCCTTCACCAAATCACACATTTCCTCCTATCTCTACTTCCTCCTTACCTTAAATATGACAATAAAGATGTTGCACATATTCATGGCATGCTGTAAGGATTCCTTCGGTGGATCTGAGAGATAATGGGGGAAAGCTGATGCAAAGTGAATCTACCCTCCCTGCTGAGGCCACCAAGTAATTCTTATACCTTTCATTGCTACTGTGACCACAGTAGCCCAGAAGGACAGATGGATAAAAACAGAGGAATTAACACAGCCGATGTCAGTACAACAGTTATTTGGAAATGGAAAATGTGAGGAAAGCTCATGAAGCTGGGTGGTGAGCGTGGAGTTGAGTGGGTAATGGGAATTTTGTGGGGCTTTTCCTTGCCTCTCCTTCCTGTGGAAATGACACACTCAGTTTTTCACTCTTTAAAGCCCAGTTCCTTTCAGGATCCCATAAGCCATCTACAGTAGGGCCCATTTCCCTTCTTACATATCTGCCATGAAGTGGCACACGAGCTAGGTAGGCATAGGAACCTTCCAGTTGGAACATTCCAACAATCTCATGTCCAGTGGGTGAGCCAGCAGAGTTGCCCTCACCTCTGCTGTGCGACTGCGATTTCTTCACCACCACTGAGTCCCGTGAGACTGCACAGGCCAGAGACTGCACTCTGTCTTTGTCAGTGTTTGTGTTTACCCAGAAGCTTGAATGTTATTTCCCAAGTCACTTCAACATTGGAAGCTCAGCACTGTCTTTCTCCAGAAGGTGCAGATCCATCTCTTTTCGTTGACAACTGGGTCTTGAGGAGAGCTCTTTGTGACTGTTGACATTATTCCAAAGGTTGGAATTTCAAAGACCTACCATAAACATACACTTGCTGTATCACCTCTCAAAACCAGTGTGCTTTGTGGGGATGAACTGTCGGTCAGAAGGCTCCGGGAAGTACAGGTGTGAAAACAGAATCAGCTACTTGGAAGAAAATGTGCGTGGGGGACAATTCAGAATAAACGAAAGACACAGGGGCTGATGCCTCTTGTTTGAGAATTCAGAGATGGCTTCTGTTCCAGCAAGACAATTATTTAGCTATTGTAGTCACGTGACCTCAGAGCAAACCAAAACGAGAGAGTCTGAGAAACTAAGTGTTCAAGGGTGCACTGGACTTAGAATTCTATCTGGTCATCAAACGGCCCCTTCGAAAAGCATAGTTTAATGGCTGGAAGCCGTTTTCTCCCTCTCAATGCGTCCTCCAGCTTTAAAATCTCCAACAAATCTCAAGTGTGATAGCTGCAGTAATATGAGAAATAGCAGACAGAATGCACCCCTGCCCCAGTGACTAAGATCAAAGAATTTTACAAAACAAGTAAAAAAGTCTCAAGATGGCAGGAAAACATCTTCCCAACATCACGACCCCCCGATGCAGGGATGCGTTTGCGCCCTGGGACGGGACCCCAGCGCGGGGTGTTCCTCTGAGCGCAGCAGAGGCACTCCAGTTCAAGTTCAAGTTCAGGGTCAAGGGCTCCCCTGCTAAGACTGCCAGTCATCATAGGGGTCAGGGCATCAGAACTGCTGATTTTTCCAAAAATTTTCTCAAAGCAGCAGCAACCACAGCAGTTTTCCTGCAAAGCAAACAAAATATGAATCTTGTTAATTCAGCAGGGCTTTTAAAATTATAATTAGTTGGTTGTACCCCTTAGGAAAACCGCAGATGATTTATTTAATAATGTATGTGTGCATGTGAGAGGAAGAAAGAAAGAAAGAAACCTCTTGATGGATTCCACCGCTTACCAGAGTTGGGCTTTTTATTTTTTAGTTTGTGCAAGATATTTTTTTTCTTTCCAACTTTCATTTTAGGTTCAAGAGGTACATGTGCAGGTTTGCTACATGGGTAAATTTGTGCAAGATATTTTAGTACTATTTGCAGTGTTGAAGGACAAGGCGTCTTTGTTTCGTCTGAAGTACAGCCACTCCGTCCATCTGGTCAGTTGATCCCAGCATCAAAGGGAGAATGCAGCCTCAAGCGTGGGGACATTTCCATTTGCTTTACAACCACGTCTGACCTGGGGCCCGCACACAGCCGCCCGCCATCATTCCTGTGGATCTGAGAAGTGCCCTAAATTTATATCCCAGAAGTTGGCAAAAGATACGACGGAGGTAACCAGAAACAAAATGCCACCAGGTTGATTTTGGGAGAGTTTCCTCTAATAAATTGCAGGAGGTGTATATGCCTCAATTGACATTGTGGATTATGCCTTATTTATCAGCCTGGAACTCTTTCCTTTTTCCACAGGAATAATCTTCAACCACCAGATTTTTTAAATCAACATTATCTCGAATTTGGTTTCCGTCATAATACATCCTGCCATAAACCCATCTCATCCTGGCAGGGAATATTATTATAAAGAATAATCTCTTTTTTTTTCAAACTTCTCAAATGAGGCCACTCCCAGAGTTAAAAATCTTACATTAAGTTTCAATTAAAAGAAAAAAAAGAGTAAGAAGGTAGGCCGGGCATGGTGGCTTATTCCTGTTATCCCAGTGCTTTGGGAAGCAGAGGCAGGACAATCACTTGAGCTCAGGAGTTCAAGACCAGCCTGGGCAACATAGTGAAACCCCACCTCTACAAAAAATTTTAAAATTAGCCATGCGTGGTAGTTCATGCCTTTGCCCCCAACTACTTCGGAGGCTGAGGTAGGAGGATCGCTTGAGTCCAGGATGAGGCTACAGTGAGCCATGCTGATGACACTGCACTCCAGCCTCAGTAACATAGCAAGACCCTGTCTTAAAAGAAAGAAAGAAGGAAAGAAAGAGAGAGAGAGAAAGAAGAAAGAAAGAAGGAAGGAAGGAAGGAAAGAAAGAGAAGGAAGGAAGGAAGGAGAGAGAAAGAAAGAAAACTAGAAAGCATCCAGATTGTGTGTATCTGAAATGATTCTTCCTTGGCCTTTGGTGTGACTCAGGTGAATTTCTGAGGCCAAATGGGGCTGGAGAGTGCAAGAGAGGAAGGCAGCCAGCCCCACGGCTTTCAGGAGCCCTCCTCAAGCAGTTCCAGCAGAGGCTGTGTCCAGCTGCCCCAGCGTGGCCAGCCCAGATATTGCTGTCTTTGTCCTCTGCACAGCCATCACTTCCTAGGCTGCTACTGTCATCCATCACATTAGGTTGGAAGCATCCATGTCTGTGTGGAAGGACTCTACCCCTCCCACCACCATTTCCTCCTCATTCTTCCCGGCCAGTCACTGGCGGCTGGCCCGCCTTGGAATGCAACCCTGTCACCCAGTGAATTCGTTCCCACCAGGCCTCCAAAGTGGCTCCAGTCCTTATGGTGGGAAGGTGGTTTGTGGCAAACCCTCGGGGTTTGTGGTCGCTGGGGACAAAACTGCTTCTGGGGGAGAGGGTGAAGGCGGGGGAGAGTGGGGGGGACACAGCCTGGCTGCCTGTGGATCCAGGCACTCATGGCGCAGGGCTGGGCACCTCACTGAGTGCCATAACCCAGGCCTGGGGGCACGAGGGTCCTTTCCTGATGCAGGTTGTCCTCACAAGAAACAGAACTCCCTCCTACCTTATGGAGACGTTCATGTCCTTGCTGTTTTTGACGAACAAGAATGGTCTCTGTAAATAGAATGCTCAAGCCTTCCGGTTCACTTTTCATGGATTTCTAAATAAGTGACAGGGCATATGTAAGTGCCCCTTCCTCTGAAGGCCAAGTGTTTTCCTAGCACTGATGTGTGGCCTTTACTATGAGGTGCTGGTTCATTTCGACCCCATCTTATTCTACAAAAAATTCAAGGCAGCTTACAAAAATACGTACAGTCAGACATGCAAAAACCTCAGGCCCAGAAACATACCTATCAGAAGAAAGGATTAAGGCCAGGCCGGGCCCATTGGCTCACGCCTGTAATCCCAGCACTTTGGGAGGCCAAGGCAAGTAGATCACTTAAGGTCAGGAGTTCGAGACCAGCCCGACCAACATGGTGAAACCCAATCTCTACTAAACATACAAAAATTAGCTGGGCATGGTGGCGCACACCTGTAATCTCAGCTACTCAGGAGGCTGAAGCAGGAGAATTGCTTGAACCTGGGAGGTGGAGGTTACAATGAGCTGAGATCGCACCATTGCACTCCAGCCTGGGCGACAGAGCAAGACTCTGTCTCAAAAAAAAAAAAAAAAAAAGACCAGTAGGCAGCAAGAACTCACTCACAAGTCATCAACCCTGTGCAGTTATGTGCATAAAGCTGCAAGAATGGCTGTGGACTTTCTGCCCAAGATAAGGGAGCTGATTCACTGCAAGGACATGAATGTTGGGTTTTCTTAGAGTCTTTTGCAAGTACAAGTGCCTCTTAGTCTTCTCCTTTAGTGCTACATTGGGCTAGATTATTGATATCAAAGAAGGTATTCATGTTTAAACCCATCTCTCAATAATTCCAAAAATACCTGAGCTGGATGGAGGTCTGCATGTGCCTGGGTGTGTAGGAGGTGGTATTCTTTAGGCTCGCAAAGCAGGTCAATATCAGAACACAGCTCAGGGTACTAAAAATCGTGGGCTTCAGCTTCAGATACACCCAAGGGAACCACACTCCACCCTTTACAAGCTGCATGGCCATGAAGGTGTTATTTAGTCTGAGTTGCTGAGACTCAATTTCCCCATCTGTACAAAAGAGGGTGTCACTTCCTCTGATCTCACATTGTCGTAAGGAGTACCCCCAGACAGTCACCAGTATCCCCTGGGCAGGTTAATTGATCTCTCCTATGCACCAGGCTCCTGGTCTCAGGGCTTTGCTTGGATGCTCTCATGGGAGCCACTCAAGAAGCTTAGGAAGTGAGACTCTCCCCAACCCACAAGTCAGGCACTGAGCTTCCTCCAGTAAGAAACAGCAGAGCCAGGGTGCGGACACGGCAGTCTGATTTCAGCCTCCGCGCCAGTCAAAATGCTGCTCTTCTTCCTGCATAGTCTGTTAGCAAATGTTCCATTTCCTTCTTATCCCTCTCTCTTAAGGCCTTCACAGAAACCTCTTCAGGAGACCCAAGACTAACCTTTCAAATGGGTGCCTCCAGTAGACTATTTGGTCACAAAGTCCTGGACATCAGAGACACGATTCTTCTTCTTCTTCTAGGGAAAGCAGAAGGCACATGGGAAGAATTAGGACATTTCCGTCAGGTCCTGATTTACGGGAACACATGAAGAGACAATCACTTGCTACTGAGTGGAAGGTGCTCTTCAAGAGAGGTTCCTGAAGCTTAAATTGCCAGGGAGCCCCTGGCGGACACATTGGCCAACCTCAGAGTCCATCTCAGAGTCCACTCTCCCCTGAGGCCCCTGTCACACAAGAGTCAGGGCCAAACAACTCAGCACCTCATCATACTTAGGTGTATTTTGCCGAAACTCACGCCGATACAGCGCAAGAGTGCTCTATCACGCGCGATCCTGGGGCTACCATAACTACAAAGATGAGTCACACACAGAAACGGCTTCTTCCAAAAGTTTTCAAATTGAGTAACAACAGTACTATCAGTTAAATAAATTCCACAAAGAGATTTAAGAAGACAAAGAAAGAGTCTCCAATTTCAGGACTGAGAAAAGCAGTGGCTTTTGATACAGGCCTTAGACAGGAACTGACTTGTGGGCTGCTCTGGAGGCAGCAGTGGAGCTCAACACAAGAGCTGGGGGTGCCCTGGAGCAGGCCCTGACTACCGCTGGGTCAGGTCTGCTGTGGACAATGGGGAACGGGTGAAGATTTTTTCAATCAATGGCTGAGGTGTAATTAAGGAACTAATGATTTGATAGATTAGGGAAGAGGGTGAGTGGAGGCTGGATATCAGTTCATAGGTTGTTTTATTAGTTCACTGAGATGGCGTGAGCCAAGATCATAACAGAGAATGGGAGGGAAGGGTCAGAGGCTTCATAATTCTAGGGGAAAGAAACCATGTCAAATGTGTGTGGTGGTCCTTCCTCTGGCCCCAGAACCCTGGTTAATTCTGCAGTAGGTGCTGAGTTCTAGTAGATTCCTAGTTTGGGAGTGCTTTGCCCCACCCCAGCTGAGAGCTGCTTCTGATGGAAACAGGTTACACACAGATGGTTGGGGACATAAGAAAGACTGCGAGCCATTGCATGTCACCTTGAGGGTGACACACAGAGAGCAGAGAACTCTAGGATATTAACTTCTAAGAAAAAAAAAATCCTTCTTAAATTTAGTGACAGTCAATATGCTATTCAAGTGGTTACGAAATAGTGCTTTTAAGCTTGATGCCAAAGAGACTAATAAAAATATATGAAAGACTTAAAATATATAATTTAGGTTGAAATGCTAAACAGTTTTGGATGAGAATTAAATGTTCAACATAAAGGTGAATTCTGATTTTGTAAAACATATCAGAAGCAAGATTATTCCAAAAATAAGCCTTCCGGAAAACTGTAGCCTCAATATTTCATTGAAAAGTAAGATACACTAAGTTTGAAAATTGACTTTCAGGAACGCTAAAACTGTATGGTACAAGAAAGGTTCTGGAAGCATCGCTCAGGTCCCCCGTGCCCAGCAGCCTGTCACCAGCAGGAAAGCATAGCAGTGAGGCTCTACCTGGACTCCAGAGCTCAGCCCCAGTCCTGAGTATTCTCCGATACAGACACTAATGTGCCTGTTTTGTGGGTTGGTATGAGGAGTGCGTGAGCTAATTTTTGTAAAGCAGGTGGAAGAGTGCCTCCACAGTGCTGTATAATTATAACTGTAATAACTAGATTTATAAAATGGAATTTGTTTTTCATTTAAAAAAATCCATCATCACCCTTGAACTTCAGTTCAAGTTCACTTCAGGTACCAGCAGATGGATGGATACAAAAGGTGATTTTACCTGTTGTTGTTTTTAAAAAATATTCTTAAACACTTTTTAAACTGTACAATGTCATTAATTATCTGCCGTGGTTTCTATACTGTCCTGCCATGTCAAAGTGTATTTGGAGACCAATAAGCTTGGATAAAAATACATTCGTGGAAAATTGGCTCAAAATAGGTTGGTAACCCTAATAAGCAGTTTATGTAGTCTGGGTGAGGTACCCACTAGGTAATAAGTCTATTTTTATTTGACATCAGTACCAATTATCAAGGAAAGGTATATTCAGACACAAATAAAACTTAGTGCCGATGCTGAATTTAGAAGTAAAGTTAATTTCAATAAAAACTGGATGTGGAAAAAGTGAGTACCTAAGGCATAGTCATTCCAAGGTTTGTTGGTCAGTGAAAAAGTTCTATTTGAAAACCTCAGGAAATGGAGAGGATGAGGAGCAAAGGTGGAAGAAACAAAAATGTATCAAACCCATGCTATGCCAGGGCAGGGCACCAGCCACCCTAACTGATGGGCATGTCAGACAGGTCCCCGGTGAGCCCAAAGGCTTGCATGGCATCTTGCCTGTAATGCATCTTACCAGTTGAACATCCAAGATGTTTAGTAAAGTTACTTGGGCATTACACATCCGTTTCTGTGTTAATTATATAATCCACAATTATTTGGATGGAGACAACAAGAAGGAGGCAGAGAAGCCAGTTAGGAGGCTGCAGTCACTCAGGGGAGGCATGTCCCAGGCCGCGGTAACCATGGGAATGGAAAGAAATAGACAGATTCCAGAGGTAAATAGGGGATATCAGGTACAGAACATGGATGTAAATTAAACATGCAATGGGGGATCGAGGGAGAGGAAGGAAACAAAGAAGATGCCCGGGCCTGGCTGAGGCCACTCCATGGACATCCTTCCCTAGGAGGGTCACTGACGGTGAGGCAAGGTGCAGGGAGATGAGATTAGTTTAGGGATGGGAAGATCCAGGTGGAAACATCTAGTACACAGGAAGACATATGGACCTGCAGCTTAGGAAAGATATCTGCGCCAAAGAGACAGATGAGGAAGTTGGAATATAAACATCTGGTAATCAAGGCAATGAGAGTAGATGGAGACTTCATTGTAAGAAGTTATACAGAGTGGGGCTTGCTTATTCCCAATACTCAGTCTGTAGTCTAAGAGTCTCCTCCTACACATAGACTTGTATAGATAGCTGGAACAAGCGGAGTATTAGAGTTTAGATTTGGTGCCCAGTGCAGACCAAACCAGGCAAGCACAGAATTTAGAATTCTGAATTCCATTTAAAGGAGGCATAGTTCTCCTGAATGGACATGACTATATATTGTCCAGGACTTTATATGTTTATAGGTTATATGTGTGTATGTATGTGCACATAAGACAATGAAGTAATTCATTTTATAATGGATAATAAATAGTTATGATGAAAATACTCTACTAAACAACAAATACATTATTTTTAAAACACAAATTGCTCAGAAAAACATTTTAAGGCTGGGTGCAGTGGCTCATACCTGTAATCGCAGCACTTTGGGAGGCTGAGGTGGGTGAATCACGAGGTCAAGAGTTTGAGACCAGCCTGACCAACACGGTGAAACTGTCTACTGAAACTATAAAATTAGCCAGGCATAGTGGCACGTGCCTATAAGCCCAGCTACTTGAAAGGCTGAGGCAGGTGAATCGCTTGAACCCGGGAGGTGAAGGTTGCAGTGAGCCAAGATTGTGCCATTGTACTCTAGCTTGGGCAACAAGAGTAAAATTCCATCTCAAAAAAAAATTTTTTTTTAAACATTTTGGCTGGGCGCAGTGGCTCACACCTGTAATCCCAGCACTTTGGGAGGCCAAGGTGGGTAGATCACAAGGTCAGGTGGCTGAGACCATCTTGGCTAACACCGTGAAAGACCATCTCTACTAAAAATACAAAAAACTAGCTGGGTGCGGTGGCACGTGCCTGTAGTCCCAGCTACTCTGGAGGCTGAGGCAACAGAATTGTTTGAATCTGGGAGGCGGAGGTCACAGTGAGCAGAGATTTTGCCACTGCATTCCAGCCTGGGTGAGAGAGCAAGACTCCATCTCCAAAAAATAAAAATAAAACAAAATAAATTTAAAAAAATTAAAAAGGCATTTTAAGTAATTAATACCAGCACAAGATTTGCAGTCTACAAGAAAAGGAATGAGAAAGAACCTCATTTAAGGTTAAGATAACTCAAGCATCTGATCTTCGAAAGACAGACAGACAGGAGAAGAAGAGGAAGAGCAAGAAGCCGTGGTCACCTGGGCATTGAGTCTGGAGTGGAGCTTGTGGTCTGACAACCAGGGGTGCTTGAGAGCTTCGCTTGCACTTATTCGCCAACTAGAGGGAAATTCAGAAGGTAATTAGTAGAAACACACAGAAGGAGGCCTGTCTCTGCTGTGCAATTTCAGCTCTAGCCTCTGCCTTTGGGAGACCAGATGGCCGAATGTCAAACTCATGGTCATTTCTGCCTTCTCTTGAATTGTATGCTGTCAACGATGGCATAGGCGACCATCAAATCCACTCAGGATAACATTAGTAAAGACAAACAAGGCAAATAATCAAAATTCTTCTTAATAACAACATTTACTGTCAAATATAACCATTTCTGTGATAGAACATTTGAGATTAGTAAAGTGAACTCCTATCAGTTAGTTGAAAAATAAATATATATTTACTATTGTAAGAATAAAATGCTACAATGATTCCTAATGATTGCCAAAGCAATTTACATATTAAAACTTCTGAATAGTAAATATTACTAACTTTTGTAGGGAAAGAGTTAATGTAATTGTGAAGAGAAGGACCATTAGAAACTTTTATGAAGAAACAATATCCTTTTGGAGCTAGCAAAGGTTTATACAATTTTGGAAAATAATATGAGAAAAATAATATTGATTTATTATATTTGAATTCTAAGTGCTATAAATTTGTTTGATGTGCTAACATTTATCACATTAAAACAAATAAACTTCAAAAATAAAAACTGTAAGTGAATGCAACAATCTGAAGGCAAAGAATTAGTTTAAGCAGCACGAAAGCTTCAATTTGTAGGATCGCTTCAATACAATCATTTCATCAGATACCAAAGCACTTAAGTATCAGATTTGAAGAGGAGATAAGTATTACAGTCAGTGAACTTGGTGAGAACATCACCATTACAGTGCCCAAAACAGGCAGAGGTAATTTTTAAAAACTTCTTGAGTGCCACCAACCTCAGGTGGAAGTGTGGTTCTGCTTAGTATCATACATTTTCAGTACTGGACCTCCAGAGATTCCGATGGCTGATCAAGATGAAAAAGGATGATTCTGTACTCTAGTGTCGAGCTTTTTAAGTCTGGCTATTAAAAAGTTAACAATAGTGGCTCATGCCTGTAATCCCAGCACTTTGGGAGGCCGAGGCGAGTGGATCATGAGGTCAAGAGATCGAGACCACCCTGGTCAACAAGGTGAAACCCCATCTCTACTAAAAATACAAAAATTAGCTGGGCGTGGTGGTGTATGCCTATAATCCCAGCTACTCAGGAGGCTGAGGCAGGAGAATTGCCTGAATCCAGGAGGCGGAGATTGCAGTGAGCCGAGATCGCGCCATTGCACTCCAGTCTGGGTAACAAGAGCGAAACCCTGTCTCAAAAAAAAAGTTAACAATAACATTGTACTAATGATTAAACTTTGAATAACATTTCAAGTTTATTTTTGTACCCCAGAAATTCATTCTATGATAGTGCAGTTTGGCTTTTGGCTTTCGTTTCATCCAAGCATTGACTGGAATTCTAAGCCAGTTGCCATTGGCCCAAATGTGTATCTGATGCTCCTTGGCATTAATGAAGCCCTCAGACTGAAAGGATGAGTGGCACTAGAGCCCACTGGGCCCACCTCTGCATCTGCTTGGAGCTGGCCATGTGACTGTGGCACTGCTCTAAGCCTCAGTTTCCCCATCTGTAAAATGATAGTCTCCACAGACCACAGAATTATCCAGAAGCCAAATAAGATAACACATGAAAGTACACATGTAAAACAGGTTCACAGTAAATATGGATTTCTCATCTTCCAAAGATTTGATAGGGTTCACAGTTTCCAGCTATTCACTGCCTCGGGTAGGGTAATGTGCTAATAATAATGACCTTGGCTATATTTTGCCTTGACAGGAAGGCACAATGACAGCCAAGGTTATTATTATTATTAATCCACTATTTGTCAATTGTCCCTCCTGTTGAATGGATGTTCTTAACCTGGCTAGTTTCTCCTCATCCTCTGAGACTCAGTTTTATTACATTTTATTTCATCTTTTTAAAAAATACCTAAAAACAATAATAAAATTAAAAATACCTACCCCTTTGATTAGATGGTGAGTTACTAATGGCAGGGACTGGATTTATGCATCTATTCTTAGCACACGATGCATTCCTGGCACACAGTAGGTGATCAATGCCTGAATGAACGCATCTCCTGCCAGGCTCTGTACCACACCCACTGCCCACACTGTTTCCCCACTCCCTGTGACACCCTCCTACTTATTGATTCCTGGCCATGTGTATTAATAACCTTAAAGCCGTAAAGATAATAAAATGATAAAGCAAGTGCTATTGGCCCTCAAAATCTCAACTGCTTCAATCGTTATGTGGTTCAGTTATAAAGCCATCTGAAACAGTGTGTTTGATGGGTTAAAATCGCAATGCCCTTCTCCCTCTATGATTCTAAAATGCAGATCCCTATATTTCAGTGTTACTCTTTTTCACCCACTGAATATTGAATTAATGTGGTTTTAGCATGACAGAAAATAGAGGGCCATGTAATAAATAACAGCCAAGTGTGTGGCCTTGGGGGAAGGAGAACTACTTGCTTGAGCCTCCGTTCTGCCAATTACTAGTGGTGTGATCACAGACCAAACCTCTCGGGATCTTCTACCCCACTCTACCTTACGGAGTTGGGGCTGGGGTGGTTGTTAAAAGAGATAATGTCTACAAAGCACTTGGCATGATATGGCCCGTAGTAAGTTCTCGAATGAAATGGTGGCTAAAAGATTCAGCTAATGGAACCATATACAGCTTTGTAGAGGTGAAAGGAATCCTAGAAATAACTTCTCCCAAGCCCTTCATTTTGACAGTGAGTCAGCTGAGGCCCAGCAGGAGCCCATGACTTGTATAGCTGCGTGGTGAATGGCAGGAGAAAGGTTTGTGTAGCTCCATGACCAAAGCAGCCCCAGATCTCAGTAGATTGGGTCAAGAGGATCAAACCTCATTCTATCTACAACTTTGCTCAAGCATCACAGATGTTATCAAGGAATGAATTCTAACAGCCCCGGTGGTGCGCACTGCTTCCTGATTGTCCCTACTTTGCCCAGAGCACAGGAAGAACTGATTACCTCTTCTCCTTAATCAGAAGCTTGGAGATGAACTCCTTGGCCTCATCCGAGATGTCCTGAAATTCTTCATCTTCTAAGTCCCACCTACAGGCCAGGATGTTGTTCAGCGTCTCGGCATCATTGTCACCCAGGAAAGGGGACAAACCGCTAAGTCTGGAGGACATAGGGTCCAGAGTGAGTATTTTTTAAACAGCCTCAACCCCTTTCCATGAAGGTTGCTTTTTCTGTTCTGCCATTTAAAAGTGAGAGAAGGAAAATAATCTAATCCTAAAGTGTAATTTTATAATATATTATTGCAATCAAGAAAATGCTTGCCACCTCCACCCAACTCCTAATTCAACAACTGCGGCAATAAAGACAGCAGCAAAGGCCAAGCCCGGTGGCTCACACCTGTAATACCAACACTTTGGGAGGCCGAGGTGGGTAGATCATGAGGTCAGGAGTTTGAGATTAGCCTGGCCAAGATGGTGAAACCCCGTCTCTACTAAAAATACAAAAATTAGCTAAGTGCAGTGGAAGGTGCCTGTAATCCCAGCTACTCAGGAGGCCGAGGTAGAAGAATCGCTTGAACCCAAGAGGTGGAGGTTGCAGTGAGCCGAGATCGCACCACTGCACTCCAGCCTGGGTGATAGAGAGAGACTCCCTCTCAAGAAAAAAAGAAAAAAGACACAACAACAACAACAACAGAATATGAATCTCAAAGAATAGTGCGGTTTTCTCTTTAAAGTACTTTATAGCTTGCAAAGTGCTACTACATGGTCAGATGGCAAACGCCAGGCATGTCACCTCTGAGGGGTGAGACTAGCCTGAGTCATGTAGGAGATCAAATAGCAAAACCTCAGAAAATACGGATGAAGTTGGAAAAGGCTAAGAGAGAGAGGAGAGCTGCTTACAGCATATAGGCGATGACCCCCACACTCCACATGTCCGTCGGAAAGGAAACAAAATCATAGTTTACAACTTCAGGGGCAAGAAATTCTGGGGTTCCAAAGTTCACCTTCAGCTTCTCTCTGGGTTTGTATCTGGAATTTAAGAGACAAAATGGAAGGATGGAAGTGTCAATCAAAAATCATGAACATTGAAATGATGCCATCTATGAGAAAAAATAACTTCAGCCACATGGCAAACCTCAAATAAATAAACATTAAAGGAGATCAAGCCATTAAGCAAGAGTGTCAAAAACTTGTAAAAGGGCCCCAGAAAATTTTAAAGTCAAAATTCATACTAGAAAACCGTAATAAGCTGAACCAGTTGTGGGAGAAGCTGCTGTGAATAATTAGAACATCTGAATTATAGAAGATGACAAGAGGAAAACTGATACAGTCATTGACATGGGGATAACTCAAATAAAGCCATATTAATGAATAAACAGAGTGCTGCAATAATTTACAACATCCATTTTATACGCATCATTAATGTGCTGAATTGTTAACGTGTCCACATAAACGCTTTGTTCCCTGAAGAAGCTTTTATGTGCCAGAACCCTTTGCAATCCTATTTACATTGTTAATATTTTTAAAGTAAATCTTCTCTGTACAGATGGAACAAATATGAACAATGAGGACAAACTCTTGCAAATGCTAAATTAATGGCTTCTAATTTAATAAACTTCACTGTATCAGGTTTTAATTTTTTATACTTTTTATTGCATGCATTGTAGGAACTTCTAAATGCTCAAATCTCAAATTTAGCAAGTTAGGGCCAAACATAATTTTTGGTAAATGAATTATAAATGAGATCACAAAACCAAGGAGCAGATCAGATATATGTTTGCAAAGACAGGGCACCCATCATGTTCCCTAACTCCATTCGTACATCTATGTCCAAATAGACATACCTTCTGGCCAATCCAAAATCAATAATTTTTATTTGCTTAGCATCCCGACTCACACACAGGATATTCTCAGGCTGCCAGGAGAAAGAGACACATTAGCAATGAAAACAACCATCATTCACTCAAATTGTCCTTGAACCACAACTAAAAATACAACGATGCTCAGAAAAAAACATATCAGGCCTTTCACTTCGGGGCAGGCTTGTCTGTGTGGGTATTTTCTCCTTTAATTATGTGGTGGATGAGGTTGCGGGTATCCTGCCAGCCCTGCATTATCCAGCCTGTCCTCTCCCCAGCTTCACAGTTCACCATAATGCCTGAGTTCAGGCAGAGGCCTTGAGGGGAGCAAGAAGAGGAGGCTGCTTCAGTCCTTCCCAAATGCACCGGCGGAGGCCCACTCAGGCCAGACATCTGCCCCTCTAAATTATTCAGTATGAATTTCCCCTTCTTGAAGAAATATTTTTCTTAAGATTTATGAGTTTCAAGAGAATTGACCTGATCCATTGAAACAGCCACACTGAACATGCACTGTAATGTGAACGTTCCGGCCTCCAGAGCTTCCCTTTGCTCAGCGCCTAAGGGAAAGTCGCGCAGCAGAAGAGAGCTTTTCTCTCCAGTCATTCTTCAGTCTCGGCAGCTCCAAGGTTTTGCTGAGTTTGGTCTCAATGCCTAAAAGCCCTGACTAAGTGTGCCCTTGGAGCTAGGCTCTAGTAAGACCTTACCCTGCTAACCTGACAGTCTTGGGGTGTACGGGGAGAAAAGTAGGTTGTAGTGCAGCTACTCAGTGATTACAGAATGTCTTACAAGTGCCTCTAATGTTTTTTGGGGTAGAAAAACAGAGTAAGGGATTTGATTTAAAGCCAAAGCTATTTATAAAAGAGAAAAAAGTTTTTGAAGAGTCAAGAACCCTAACATTCCAGTCCCAATGCTTCTTTACGAGCTAGAGGCCACCAGCCCAGAAGCTGAATGCCCAGGATCCCATTCCTCAGCCTTTAGTGGGATCAGGCTCCCCATCCCCGACCTGTCTGGGTGGAGAAGAGGTTCCAATGGGACCAGAAATTCAGAAACACATTATGAAATGACATAGTGTCACCTTATCAATATTCAATAGTCCATTTGGTTGGGTAAAATATCTTTGGAAGCGCTTTTCTAAAATATCGCTAAAACAGATGTCTGTGAGTAAAAATCATTACAGAGAAGGGGGTGCTAAGTAAAACGTTCGGTTTCATGCTTCAATAACTGATTGATCATGTATAAGGCTGTCCAATTGTGAAGGAGTATTGTGGCATCAAAAAGTTTGCAAAATACAGAGAAACTGCTTTGAGGGCATTTCAAAATTTAGCCTTTTTATGCTTATAAAATTAAAGAATGTTCATTGGATAAAATTTGCAAAACAGAAAAATATAAAGCAGACTGTTTTTAAGTCACCTATAATCTCCCCCACATAGTGACAAACACTCAATATTCCTGGCCCTTTTCCTTCCAAGAAGCTTTCAGAAAAGCAGCTCCTTAATGACTCATCCAGCTGTCACCTTTATTATGATCTTTGCATCCAAGCCATAACTAAAATTGCCCACTGCAAGTCCCCAATCAATGTTCTGAAGCCCCATATGGAGGCTTCAGAGAACTAGGAGAACTGGAACTCCTAGTTCCAGTTGCCAATCAAATCCCTGTAGGAATATCTGCAGAATATCTACATTCAATGAAAATGCTCCATGAAAGCATGCATTATCAAACTCGGTTCATAGTGAGGGTTTTGCTAATGATTTTTAACCTCTGACTGTGTCATTTTATAAACCACTTCCTCCTGCACTCCTCCTGCTCACAAGTGAATGGGAAAGGCAAGGCACATAAATCAAGACAGTGAGGGAAGCCAAGTTATAGGAAGAGAGGCCCATGGAAACCTATTTAAGGAGGCTAAATTTATTTTGCTATGCAATCCCTAGTGACTTGCAATAGATGGGATGTTATATAGAATATATATTTTATCTCACTGTCGTGCTGTGCAAACAGGGAAATGAGAAAAAGACCGAGCCACGCAAGATGTACTTTACGGGTACTTAGTCCCAATATGAGACTTGATCAGGGTCGTTGGGCCTAGGTCTTTTATTGGTTATAACTAAGACTATGTACAGTTCGATTCTAGAAACTTCTTAGTGAGAGAGGTAAGGAGGGAAGGAGCAATCGAAAGGAGAATAGAGAAAGGCGGCTTGGCTTATCCTGTCTGCTTTTCGCCATTTGCAGTGGGGTGCCCGCTCCATCCTCCCTGCTCCTTAGCATTTCAGCCTCATCCTTCTGACTGCCCTCTGCTCTATTCTCCATCGGATTCTATTCCATGGTGCAGCAAACCCACAGAAAAACAAGTCCCAAAGTCCAGAGCTTCCTGATTGATTCAAGGACTTGCTGGTGATTCTTGGAGACCTAGAAAGGCTGGCTACTACTTAGGGAATTCTGAGCGAGCTAAAGTCCTCCCACCTACTTGTCCAGACGAGAGGGATCCGTGTGGTATCCCTCTCATCTGGACAAGTGGTGGTGGTGATGGTGATGACTTTTTTAATTCTAAACTTTTAGGGAAACTGTTGCCATATAGATTTCCTTAAAACAGGCAAGTTACAAGAATCTGAATATTAGCCCCTGAAGATGGAACGTGCAAATATTAGGGGGTGACAGAGCTGAGAATAAGGAGATGAGGGTAACAATCCAGATGTTTATTCATTTCTGAAATGACTGCACCAATTTCCCCAGCTGATGTGTAATAGCACACAGGACCCACTGAGCAAGGGATGGGAAGGGCTTAGGTCTCACAAGATACAAAACACGCTCTACCTTCAGGTCCAAGTGGAGAATGTACATCTGATGCATGTGCCTTATCCCCTCACATATTTGCTTCATGAACAGGATGGTATCAAGCTCCGTCAAATTGTAGTTCTCGTCAATGATGCGGTCAAACAGCTCCCCACCATCCACACTGCAGAGGGAAGAGGAGCAAAGCCCTCAGTCCTGATTTTCCAACCACAATGCGCCTTTCTTGTAGCAACTCATTGTGCAAGTTCTGCTACCTCTTCTGAAAGGTGTATGTGCAGTGATTTCTCTGCCTTCTTTGCTATCTTACTTAGATGATTCTTATCTTGAAGGCCTGTATTTTGTATACCTTCAATCTCGCAAATGGAAATCCTCAAAGTCCCCCCCCGACTGCCACCTTTTTAGTGTGTGTGTGTGTGTGTGTGTGTGCGTGTGCGTGTGTTTTTTGAGATGGAGTGTCACCTAGACAGAGTGCAGTGGTGGGATTTTGGCTCACTGCAACCTCTGCCTCCTAGATTCAAGCGATTCTCATGCCTCAGTCTCCCAAGTAGCTGGAATTACAGGCATGTGCCATCATGCCCAGCTAATTTTAGTACTTTTAGTAGAAATAGGGTTTCACCACATTGGCCAGGCTGGTCTCGAACTCCTGATCTCAAGTGATCCACCCGCCTTGGCCTCCCAATGTGCTGGGATTACAGGCGTGAGCCACCGCACCTGGTCCTCAAAGCCCATTTATCCAATGTCTTCAGCTCTGAGGCGAGCACACATGTATCATGCTCTAAAGATGTTGAAGAGAAAGAGGACCCTAAGAACTCTGGGAGGGGAACTCCAAGCCCTGACTGAAAGTAGTCAGGGTCTCAGCCCTTTAAGTCTCCAGACTGAATTCGGTGATAAAGTGCTTCGATGTGTCTGGTGCTAGACACAGTAATTTCCCTTATCCTCAGGGACACATTCTACGACCCTCTGTAGTTACCTGAAACTGTGGATAGTACTGAACCCTGTATATATTATGTTATTTTCTATAGATATATACCTCCAATAAAGTTTAATTCACAAATTAAGCACAGTAAGCAATTAACAACAATAACTAAGGGTAAAGAGAACAATTATAACAACATGCCAGCTTCACTATTCTTGTGCTTTTGGGCCATTATGAAGTAAAATGAGAGTTCCGTGAACACAAGCACTGCGATACCTCCACAGTCCATCTGATGACCCAGTTGGCTACTAAGTGACTAACCGCAGGGAGTGATGGAGACGCCGGACAAAGGGATGATTCACGTCCTGGGTGGGACCGAGCGGGATGGTGGGAGATTTCATCAGGCTACTCAGAACAGTGTGCAATTTAAAACCTGTTGATTGTTTACTTCTGGAATTTTCCACTTAATATTTTGGGGCCTCTGGTAACTGAGACGATGGAAAGTGACAGTGTGGATAAGGGAAGACCACGATACTATACTTTTTCAAAATGCCTTCTTGCAGAATGAAAAACAAAACAGAATCACAATATCGATTCAGTGTTGGAAATGCAGTCGGCCCTCCCTATTCGTGGGTTCTGTAATCATAGGTTCAAACAATCGCAGATTGAAATGTTTGACCAAAAAAACAATAAAAATTGACAATACAACAACAAAAATAATATGAAATTTTAAAAATACAATATACGGACTGTTTACATGGCATTTACAGTGTATCAAGTGTTATAGGTAGTCAGGTGTTGATTCAAAGAACTCGAGAGGATGGGCACAGGTTATATGCAAAAGACTATGCCATTTTATATCAGGAACTTGAGTGGCCTCTGGTTTCGGTATTTGTGAGGATCCTGGGACCAATCCCTCTCAGATACCAAGTCATGACTGTACCCAGTTTCTAATTAACCAGTCCTTAGGTTTTTATAAAGGTAAATTTAAATTGAAGCTTCTTAGCCCTAATCATCAACAGTTTTTGACATGAACTTTGTATTAGTGAATATGTTGAAAGAAAGACGTAGCTCAAAAACCGCTTTCCTCAGTTTGCCCTGGCTAATATTTAAGCTTGGTTTTTGACGAACAGCTTAGATACAAAGCTAGGTCTACGTGGCCCCGCTATTTCTTAGCAATAAAATCCTATATTGAGATGCGTAATTCCAAGTAGTTTCCCTTGTAGAACTGATGTGATTGTGTGATCCGTGGGAATCAGAGTCTACAGGGGCAAGCTTGGTTCTGGTCCCGCTATACAGGACGGAGCTGCTGGCGCACAGTCATGGTCAAGTATGCTGTTGGGGAGGTCAGGGAGGGAACAGGAGGGATACGTACTACTCCATGACCAGGACAATGTCATTCTTAGACTCAAAGGCATCGTAGAGCTGGATGAGGTTCGCATGGTCCAGCTGGTTCATAACGCTAATCTCATTCTTCACCTCCTCCTGAGAAGCAGGAAACAGTGCATTAGTGTGATCAAGACAGGGCGGGGAGGGCGGAGCTGCCTCCCACAGGCTGTACCTTGTCCTTCATGCCTCTGGTCTTGATGATTTTGGCTGCCAGCTTCAGACCTGTGGCCGTCTCCTCACACTTGTGAACCTGGCCGAAACGCCCTCTGCCAAAAAAAAAAGGAAGTTGCACAGCATGAGGCCCTGTGGTCAGCTGCCAAGTAGACAGAACACAGTGGCCCCAGCATTTCTCCTTCTGAGTCTCAATGAGCAGACCTATGAGTGCATCAACTTTGTTCAGTAAACTCCTAGGCAGCATTTGTCAAGGTGTGGTCTGTGGGTCACTTGCATCAGAATCACCTGGGGGCCGTGAGGAATGCAGGTTTCTGGGCCCTACCCCAAACCTCCTGAGGCAGAAATCCAGGGGGAGGCCCCAGAATCTCCATGTCAGCCCATTTCTTGGGTGATTGATATGCACCCTAACATTTAAGAACCACCTTTACAGACCATGCAGAATCTTTCTGAATACCTATGAATGTGATAAGCTGGGCTTTGCTGGCATATGAACAAGAGCCTACCTTCAGATATATGAAATTATTTTTGGAAACTGCATATGTAACTATACTGCATATATCTCCATATAGTCAAGACTACATGTTGCCCAGGCACCTATGAGCTTGAATATAAACATAAGACAGCTTCTTACCTACGTAATCACATACAGATGTGCACACTTGTGAGTGGTTTTAAATTTAATTTGCTTACTTTGATTTCTTAGTTAGTAAAATAAGCTAGAACATGTGTCCCTGCTCTGCAATGGTGGTTGTCACAGTAGGGAGTGGGGAATGGCTTCCCTAGCAACACAGTGAACCCAAGGTAAGCCCAGTGACAAGGCCAAGGACCTCAAGGATGAAGTTCATGGCAACGCTGGGCAGACACAGGGCCCCTGGCAGCCACCGCATCCCATTGGGGCTGCAGCACAGAAGCAGAGGATCTTGGAGAATGACACAGGATTACTGTAAACATAGCCATGGAGCGACTTCAATTCCAACCTCTGTTCCAGATGGGGTCCCTATGGGAACATATGGACACAGCCCCAGCCACCTCTTCAGTGGCTCTTATAAAAATGTTTTTTTCCCTTCACTAGCAGTGGCCCCAGAACCTCCTGAGCCAGCAGTGGGGCCCATCACTGTCTGACTTCCCAGCTCCCTCAACCCTCTGGTTGTTTCCCCTGATTTATTCTCCAAGGCCCAGAAGGTTGAGGCCGATTCCCAGGATTCATGCTGGCTCAACACAGTGATAACCTTATCCTCACTGAACATGGTAAGCAGGGATGATAAATACCCTCGAGGCCACAGGGCAGGAGATTAAGCCCCAGGAAAACTCAGGGGCTGCTGCATCGTGAACCTCCTCCCCTCAAAAACGAGGTACAGCACTGGTGACGTCTGCATTTTGAAGGCATCCACGCACATTTCATCATGCTCCTTTAACTTATTTGCTGAGTGAATTACGGCTGCCAATTTTGGTAAAGCCCATAACAAGAGCTGATGGGCAGCTGGTCTAGACTACGGTACCAAAGGGAAGATTCCACGGAGCCCAAAGAGACAGAAAGGAAATTTCAAGGAGCCACTGACAAACCTTGACCAAAAAAACAGCACAAACCCTGGGAATTATTTCAAAGCTTCTTCTGCAAATAACTATTCTCGGTTAGAGAAATAGTTGCTGGCTTGCCACTGAAGTCCCTGAAGACCCAAATACCTCAGACCTCCATGGCACCACTTCATGCTGTGGAATTCCTGTTTCTCCCTCAGCCCATCCCCGCAGTCTCATGGGGCATTCTCCAAGATCAGCCAGCTCAGGAAGGAAGAGTCCAGGTGGTTCCATACGGCAGAAGGCAAAGAAATAGAGTGGGAAGAGGAAGAAGGGACTTCACAATATCAATGACTCCCTGAAGACTACTTGCAGAAGCCTGAACTGCAGTGGCGATGCATGCTTTCCTTGTGCTGGTGAGTAAATATTGTATGTATGTGTCCAAACGTTCTGCTTTCCTCTTCCTATTTCACACAGACATGTTGATGGCAGCAAACGTTGTAATTTAGACTTTGAGTTACAAGATATCATAGGGGGATTGTGAAAGAAGTAGAAGAAGAAAGAACACTCTCTCCCCACCCCCAGCATGAAGCTGATGGACTTTAATCTTTCTTCTTTAGGGAGAGTGTGCATTTAGGTGTCCCTAAAATAATTTATTTGCTGAGCAAAGTAATCGATTGAAATGGATAATAGCAATTAATACAGTAACAACATAAATGAAAAACCAGCAGCAATGACAGAAAGACCTAATACAGGCCACAAGAATGACATACTGTTGACTCATTTCTGTGTTCTGTCTCCTGAGGCTACGCTATGGGCTTTGGATAGCTGGTCAACCTGGTGACTCACAATGGGTTTTTCTTTCTTTTAGACATTACAACATGGGAAGTAAAGCAGATAATAAATGTAGAGTTTAGTCACTACATCAGCCTTTCTGGCAGCAGTGACAATTTTCAGAAATGGTTACAGTTTCTTAAAATGTTTGTTTCTAACGTTGCTAGTTCTCAGGTCAAGATAGGCAGACATTTACAAAGTCGTCCGCCCCGTGTCTTTGCAAGCGCTCTTCTTTTGTTGAGAGAATGTTAACATTCAGCATTACTCACCCTCCTAAGATTTCTGTCTTGCTCACTGTATAGAAGCTGTTGACCGCTGCTTGCTTGGCTGTCACAATACGATGGTCGAATGGGGCAGGAGGGGCCGGGACATCAACTAGAAGGTAAGAGAAATGGAAGAACCATCTGTCAAGCAGTCTGACCTTGTTACAGCAGCAAGTCTGGGACTCACAGTAAAAATATGGTCATTTAATAGAAAACACAAGGAGCTATCTGTTTGATTTCTAATGATCCAGGAATATAAATTTTCACTTGAGATTATGAGCTGTGACTCACAGAGGTGATACCTGACCCCTCTGAGGAAGCGTGTCAGAGGGCTCAATGGTTATCTATACCATCTTCAGGATCACTTTTAGAAACGTCAGAATAGTTGCAAATTTCCAACCCAACACAGTCCAAACAGGTAATACTTCCAAGCCTGAGACCATTCAAGTTCAGACATGAGAAATTGTTTCATCCATTTTTAATAATTTTTTAAATGCAATACCGATAATCTGCATTATTTTAATTAAAGCAGAGAGAAAAAAGAAAAATGAAACATTTCTTCATGTTATTGAAATGCCCGATATTATATATTACTTTCCAAAATGTTTTAGACTTTATTTAAGACAGATTTAAGGCACAAAGATGAATTTTTTCTGACTGGCTGGAAATAAAACACCCAATAAAACCATGTAAGTGTATATTCAACAGCGATCACATTTCTCCCACGTTCTTCCCTTCCACCTTAAGTGTTTAAACGCTAGTCCACATCAGCACCAGCTCTAACATACAGAATTACTCGGGGATATTCCTCCCAGTATTCTCTTATCTTTCCATGACTACTACTGTTAAAACTGGCTTGCCATGAACCCGCTCATTCTCCATTAATTCATTTATTAAGAAGCTACTGCGCTCATACAATAAGAATACAAAGGGAGGTAAGTAAATAACAGCCTTGCTTCCGAAGAAATCTAAATTTATTTAACATATGTTTCTTGAGCATTTATTTTGTTCCAAACACTCTGGCAAGTGTTAATATTTTTAAAAATTCAGATAATATAAATCTCTGGGAATCTGATTTGACATGGACATCACCTCTCACAGCGTAATATGCTGAAAAATGAAGTCACAAGAGAAGTGTCTTGATAACATTCACTGCTTCAGATTAATGAAAAGAGGGAGTTAAATACACAGGCGGCATCGAAATGGCATTACATCTTCTGCAGGCTGTTAGATTAAATGAAATTTAGTCTGAAATGCTTGCTGGAAAAGGTTAAAGAGGCTTCAAAGGCCAATACAAAAGCCATTTCCTACCCAATTGCGCTGTCGTGATCTTGCCCTCGGGAGGTCTTCATACCGGCAGGTTCCTGGAGTCTGCCCTGGGAGCTCCTCAGCCTGCCTGGCTGTCTGTGTCTAATGACACATGTGTTCTTCACCTGTGCCCACTACGTCACCTACTCTGCACTTTTTGCTGTCCTCCTTGACGAAGCGCTCCTCTGCCACTCTCCACTTACTGCTGCCCAGGTACTCTGTTTGGTCCACATTCCAAAAAATGGATCCTACTGCTGAACGTCCAGAGATGCGTGGGGTAGAAATGGCCCTTATGCTGTGACACACCTGGAAGGTGAAATCCAATTGCAGCTCTCCAAGTTTCAAGAAGAGAACTTCCAGATGGTGAAAATTCTTAGAACTAAGCCTTTCTTAAAACAGTGTTTTGGTGATGAGGACGCGAGCTCCGTGATAGAGGTGACCGTTTCGGTGCTTGGAGATGAGATGGAGCAGCATGCTCTCCCCATCAAGCCTATGGGTGTAGATAAACAGGGTCCCAGGGAATCTCCCCACTGACCAAATTGTGACCCCAAGTTATTCCACTGCCCCTTATAAAAGCAGTCATTTTATGAATTCCTAACTAATTTGATCTTCATTTTTTCACTTCCTTTCCTTTAGAGAAGAGAGAAATTATTATAGCATGATAAAAAAAACAATAATCTCTCTGAATCTTAACAGCAGTGAGACTAAACCTTTATCAGTGGAAGAATTGACCTAACTTCCATTTCTCGGCAGCTCCTGACCTTATCGAGCACATCTGACAGTGATGAGGTTTCTTTCTCAGCATTTAGTAGTATTTATGCTTAAATCTTGGAAATTAAATTTCTCCAAGATGAGGTTTCAGATATCTTACTTAAAAATGAAATAAGAATTATGTTTTAAATCCCTAAAAAAGACCACAAAAGTGTTTTGATACTTTTGGTTCCAAACAGATACTGTGGTATGTGACTACTCATAACTTAGAGTAGTCCATTGTAATTGGCTACAGTATTACCTGAATCTGTATGCGAAACTTTGTAGGTGAGGAAAAAAGTCATTCAATAATCTACGTCTTACTTAATCCTTACAATATTTGGGAAAAATAGGCAATTTATCTATGAGGGGACCTTTGTATTTTGCTTTTGACCTTGGTTCTGTGGTTTGAATGTCAACAACTTCCCTAAAAAGTATGTTAAGTTCTAATGTCATGACCCAATTCGTGTTATTCATCTTTAATCCTGTTTCAGTCTCTGTGTGTACAGCAGTATTTTTAATAAAAAATTACAGAGATTTTAAAAAGTTATCATTTATAATGAAGTAGGCAAGCTTTTTCAGATTTAGGTTTTTAACTTATAGATAAATCTAATCACTTGACCTTAAGAAGGATATGCTCTGTATCGCTGAAAAGAACAATGCTTTACTTGATCTTTAAAAAATACTGATTCCTGTGGGCACTATTAATCATCGTCTTTGTCTACCAGTTAGTAGAAAACATAGCAAGTGATAAAATGCCTGAAAATATCACAGGCAAGAAGAAAAAATAATGGCAAGAAAATGTGGCCATGAAAAATTCATATAAGCTGGAAAACCAAGTTATAAATCATTGCTTCAAACAATCTCTTCATTTATCCTTTTAGTAAGGCCTTACACAGCAGCGGCACACACATCTACAGAAAGCATTGCTGTGGCTATGCAACGCTGTAACCCCAGCTTTCATGGAATTGGTCACCGTTAGTTTTATACACGTATTGATATTTATGTGGACGTGAGTCCAGCACTGTCTCATACGCACTTGCCAGTTCTCCTTTCTTCTCATCTTCTTTTCCTCTAGTATCTTCCTTAGAATGAAATCCATTTTCCTCTTCTTCAGACACTTGATGCTGATTTCTATCTACAGTGGCTTGTTTAGCATTCCCAGCACTTCCACTTTCTTGTGTATTCAGGCTCTCTGTGCATGACATGTCTTTTCCATCTATATTCTCTCTTGGCTGTACAGAATTTCTTGGAGCAAAAGCTTCTACTTTGTCTTGTCTTTCTGTATCAATGATGGCAAAACTTCTGTGAACCAGAGAGGCACTGGTCTTCTCAGGATTTTTCTTGTTGAATTTATTAACCTTTCCTTTCTCAGAGGAGAGCAGACTCTTCTGGGTAGATCTCTCTAGAAGCCACCATAGGACACAAAATATTTTAATAGAGAATGCAGTATAATTTTGGCTTTCTATAATGGGATCTTTATCCAGATTTCTTTTTACCAGCAGATATAAGCTTTCAAAAGCAAAGTAGAAGGAAATATAACCAATTGGCTTCCAAAAGATCTTCATGTTTGTAACTAGTGAGACCCAGACAAGCAAAAAAAAAAAAATGTATTTCTTTTTAAAATAAAACAGCACAAGAACAGAAAACAAAACACCGCATGTTCTCACTCATAAGTGGGAACTGAACAATAAGAACACATGGACACATGAGAACACATCACACACTGGGGTCTGTCAGGGGGTGAGGTCTAGGGAACCTAGGATAAATACCTAATGTAGATGAAGGGTTAATGAGTGCAGCAAACCACCATGGCACGTGTATAGCTATGTAACAAACCTGTACATTCTGCACATGTATCCCAGAACTTAAAGTATAATAAAAAAAGAAAGAAAAACATCACTTCTTCCTACACAGGGCTTTATGCACATGCAACTTCCTCTCTCTCGACAACAACAGAAATTTTATAACAGAACTTTCTTTATCCATAATGATCTAGCTTTCTGGAGATGTTACCTGCGAGGGCTGATGTCCTTTTGCTTTGGACGGGCATCCTTTCTGCCAGGCCAGCGTCTGACCACAGCTTCTCCTTCGCCTGCGGAGGCACAATCGAGTAATTGAAGTTACCGATCACATCTGGGTTTTTCAGCACTCCTGACACTTGTGCTGGATGATTCTGTGTCGTGGGGCATGTCATGAGCATTACAGGATGCTCAGCAGCATCATTGGCCTCCGTCCACCAGATGCAAGTAGCACCCTCTCCCAGTTGTGATGACCAAAAAGGTCTCCAGAGATCTATAAATGGCCCCTGACAGCAAAATTACCCATCACCCCAGGCTGAAAACTACTATATAATTCAAATATACAAAAAAAAACCCCACAAAAATTAATAGTAATGTAGAGGGCAGAATAGTCTGAATTAATGAAACCCCATATAGCCTACAGTATCTGAAATGAACTCACTATTTTCAAAGAAATTCTTTAAAACTGTTATTATGGGAAAAGGCCCATCTTCATGAATAGATTAAAGAATATTAATAATGTGTACATCACCCTTGACCTCTATTTAAGTGTCTTGATATGGTTTACATATAAATCAAACAAAAATGAGAGGATACATGTGAATGGGCTCTGTAAGCCAGAGAATAGGAGATGAAAGTCAGCTTTGTAAATGGAACCTTTACAGTGCTTAGAACAGATGGCCCTTTTCCTAAGTGGGTAAACATTTTTCTCAGAGTCCTGGAGGCTTTGAATTAGTTGAGCAAACCATTTGCTAACGCACCCCATATAAAAGGGAAACATTAGTTCAATCCACCCAAATTATCACAAATTCTAAAGTTATGCATTATAAATTAATGACATTGTGTGGATGTCCCCCAAAAAGTTTTTATTTCCCCTTTGAAACACAACATAATTTGCCTTCAGCTGATTTGCAAGCATGAAACACCATGTAAATTCAGAGAACAGATATCGAGACAAATTGAAAATGTGCTTTTTTTTTTTTTGAGAAGGAGTTTCACTTTTGTTGCCCAGGCTGGAGTGAAATAGCATGATCTCAGCCCACTGCAACCTCTACCTTGCGGGTTCAGGCTATTCTCCTCCCTCAGTCTCTCGAGTAGCTGGGACTACAGACATGCACCACCGTGCCTAGCTGATTTTTTGTATTTTCAGTAGAGACGGGATTTTGCCATGACTGCCAGGCTGGTCTTGAACTCCTGACCTTAGGTGATCTGCCCACCTTGGCCTCCCAAAGTGCTGGGATTACAGGTGTGAGCCACCGCACCTGGTTGCAAATGTTTTTTTAAACAATTCAGAGGGCAGCTCCATGGATTCAAAGTATTCCTGTGTTTTAGATGGTGAACTTACAACATAAAGGCATGTTTAGTAAATCTGTGGAAAGCCAAGGCTAGAAGTGAGAGCTTCAGAGTTTCTCTTTAAGTGAAGGTGCAGAGAGGCATCTGCCTACTTTTCCCTTTGCAGAGAAAATGAGCTGCAGCTTCCTCAGGCAAAGCTGATTGCTCCCTTCTCTGTGCTTGCACAGAACTCAGCATGTAGCCCCAGCCCTGGTATCCCTTATAACACTTTGTTAAGCTTTTTTCCTGTCAATATCCCACTAGATTGTGGAATTCTAATGGACAAAAAGACTGGTTCATCTTTGACTCCCTGGTGCTTAACCCAGAGATCAGTAGACCAGTATGTAGTGATGATGATGATGATGATGATGGTGGTGGTGGTAGTGGTCATGACAGTGGGGATCATGCTGGTGGTGGTAGTGGTAGTAATCATGCTGATAGTGGTAATGATGGTGGTAGTTACAATGGGGGGCAGTGGTAGTGCTGGTGATGGTGGTAGTGGAAGTGATGGTGGTGGTAGTAATGATGGTGGTAGTGGTAGTGCTGGTGGTGGTGGTGATGGTGGCAGTGGGAGTGGAGATGGTGGTAATGGTGGTGGTGGTTGTAGTGGTGATGGTGGTGGTCATGGTGATGGTGGTAGTGGCAGTGGTGGTGGTCATGATGGTGATGGTAGTAGTAGTGCTGGTGGTGGTGGTGATGGTGGTAGTGGTAGTGCTAGTGATGGTGGTAGTGGGAGTGGTGATTGTGGTTGTAGTGGTGATTGTGGTGGTGGTGGTGGTTGTAGTGGTGATGGTGGTGGTCATGGTGGTAGTGGTTGTAGTGGTGATGGTGGTGGTCATGGTGATGATGGTGGTAGTGGTGATGGTGGTGGTCATGGTGATGGTGGTGGTCATGGTGATGATGGTGGTAGTGGTGATGGTGGTGGTCATGGTGATGGTGGTGGTCATGGTGATGATGGTGGTAGTGGTGATGGTGGTGGTCATGGTGATGGTGGTGGTCATGGTGATGATGGTGGTAGTGGTGATGGCAATCGCATATTGAGCACACACTATGTACCAGTCACTCTTCTAAGCACTTCATTTACCTGGTTGCTCCTAATAGCCCTTTAAGATAGATACTATTAGCCCCATCTTATAAATGAAATTAGGTAATTTCCCAAGGTTATAAAGTTTATAAATGATAGAGCTAGGATTCTAACCCAGCTGTCTACTTCAGTCTGTGCACCTAATTACCACACTGTACTGCCTTTCTGAACAACAAAAAAAGATAGAAGGATTATAGCCAAGTTACATGATTTGTATTTATTGAGATCAACTACATAGTTGGCCCTTGCCAGCCCCTGGATCTGCCAGCAGCCTGATTTGGGACCTCTCAGCCCCCAGAGAGAAGGTCATAAATCAAAAACAAATTAGCAGAGTGAAGAGATAAATATTTATTGGTCAAAAGATTACAATTAACATGGAAGAGAGGCAAAAAAGAAAAAAGAAGAGAATTTAAGTTCAATTTTGAAAACATATATCCAAATTAGTTAAATAAGTTTAACAAATTGTGTTTAAAATGTTTTATAACCATCTTTCAGTTCTTCCCTTTTGAAATGAAAACTCCTGGTGTAGCAATAGACATTGTGCTTCTGGATTTATTCTGTGTGGCATGAATGCAATGATATAAGCACATGTGGATTTAATAATGAAAACTGCTATGTATCAGTCAATTTCAGCCCATCAAAGTATATAAAATTGAAGAGCTGGCTGTAAAAATCTGTAGAGCACTGATGGATCCACTTTTGCCTCTGAGGCCGTCTGAGTGTCAAGTGGAAAAGTCCACACGCTGGGAAAATATTCTTTGGATATAGAGTCGGACTTGACCAACAGAAGAAGCTGTTGGTATTGAGGAATATAAGAAGCCAGCTTCCAAGTGAGTCTGCTTTTTTCTTCAGTAATTATATGTCACATATGTTTTTTCATTTAAATAATCTAAGAAGGTCTTTATTCATTGCCAAAGGCTGTTATATTTTCATTTCCCTATGTAATAGTGACATCTAGAGGAACTTGGAATTGAAGAGTTTCCAACAAACAGAAGTTGTATTTTGCCTGTTCCTTCCAGGACAGCAACCTCGTGAACCTCAATATGAAACGTTTTTACTTTGTATTTCTACATTATGCCTAGAAGTTGCTAAAATAGGAAACACAAGTCTGTAGATACATCTTGTTTGTTGTCCAAAAATAAAACATTTCGTCTACAGATTAAAGAGGATAGCACCAGTGCTCTGGAGCATGAAGTTTCTGACCCAATCCCGACCATCCCCAGTTAATGGGATGAAAACCACATCAGTGACTATGTTCCTCTGTTGAATTCACATCAATGGCTGGGATGAACCTAAGGGCCTCTTTCATGCAAATTCACTTAAAAATATTTCTATATTTGCATAAGATTCCTTTGGAACTATTTACCAATTCATTTTATAATAGTTTATCTGTGGGTGTAGGATGACACAGGGAAGAAAAGCTACATGGTCCAGTTGCCCAAGTATTCGAAACACAACTCAGCTCTCTCCACTCTGTCTGGCTTCATAGACTGGTATCCTAAGTGGGGCATGCGTACCTGGAGAGTGTCCACAGTAGTTCTTCGGATGTTGTCAAAAAATGCTAGAACTCATTTCAATTTATTCCATTTCTTATGGATTGAATGTTTGTTCCCCCCCACCACCATATACACACACAAATTTATAAATTAAAATCCTGATCCTCATGCCTTTGGAGGTGACTAGGTCATGACTGGGGAGCCCTCATGAATGGGATTAGTGCCTTTAGTTTGCTCACTTTTTATGATGGGAGGGCCACTGCACACTAGTAACTCGGCCCTTGACAGTCCCTGGATCTGCCAACAGCCTGATTTGGGACTTCTCCATCCCCAGAACTGTGAGATTTAAATGTTTGCTGTTTAAACCACCCAGTCCAGAATAATTTGCTAGAGCAGCCCAAGCTAAGACACCATTCTTTTAACACTTATATTTTACATATGTTTTTAAAAATATATTGCTACAATTGGACACATATAAAAGTATCTGATGTATTAAATGTTATTTCTAAAAATAAAAGTGCAGCCAGGCATGGTGGCTCACGCCTGTAATCCCAACACTTGGGAGGGTGAGGTGGGCAGATCACAAGGTCAGGAGTTTGAGACCAGTCTGGCCAAAATGATGAAACCCCAGCTCTACTAAAAATACAAAAATTAGCCGGGCACGGTGGCACATATCTGTAGTCCCAGCTACTCAGGAGGCTGAAGCAGGAGAATCACTTGAAGCTGGGAGGCAGAGGTTGCAGTGAGTCAAGATTGTGCCACTGTACACAATCTTTGTTGCCTGGGCAACAAAGCGAGACTCTGTCTCAAAATAAAATAAAATAATAAAAGTGCATGTAGTGGTCATCAATATATACAATTTATAAATAAATATATTGGGATGTCCTTTAAAATCTTTTACCAGTGGCAGTGCAAAATCAAAATAATTTTGAGACAAGTCTAGATAACATCATGCTTCACACTCTGATTTTCTGAAGTGCGTTTTGGAGAAGAACCATTCTAATTAGCAGGTTTGAGGCCAAGAACATTATTAGAACTCTTAGCTCAATTCCTGCAAACTCTTTTTCTCCTTCTGCAAAGTACTGCTTTTAGGAGTTCCGTATTCATTGCTCACATGCTAGTTTTGATTATTTAAACAATTTTTAAGCAAGCACTTTATCCTCTTTTCTCTGTCAATCATCCCATTTACTGCCATAGAATCCAGATGCGAACAGGAGGTCAGCATTGGTCCACAGGTGTGGGCTGGCTATCTGGGCATGAGTGCGCTCTCGCCCTACCCTACAGACCTGTCCCAGGACTACACCAAAACTCTACTTTTCCTGAAAGTGGTGGAATAACCGAAAGGGAAATTAATTCAATTGAACAACATAATCTAGTCCTTCTTTCATTCCCTTTCAATAAAAATCAATTTAAAAATCAATTGTAAAATAGATTTGACCTTAAAAGGACATACAGCCTAAGATAAGGGCTGTCTCTTGTGGACCTCAACAATACCACCATCATTTTCCATGTTACTGCAGCGTTCTCGATGCAGCTGTCTGCCCACTGGCATACGGTCCCTTCTCTTCTTTGTTTCCCCAGCACCAGACACAGGTTCTAAAAGTGCTTGATAAAGCAATGTATGATGACAAAAACACATTTTTTTAGAATGGCATTCTCACTGTGAGAACACTCTCTCATCAAGCTGCACCACTGAAAAGCCAGGCTGCCCTGGGGGCCATCTCGGATGCATCCCTGCCACAGGGGCTCATATCCACGGCCCTGAATTTACAGAACTGATGGCTAGCAATATCAACGGTGATGCATTTTGGGATTACAGTTGCTACAGAAAATTGTGTTCATAATATAATATATAGGGCATGCCTGGTTCCTTTCAAAATTTGTGCAGAAAAAAAGGCCAGAAAAAAAGAATGGTGGAGAGCAAATATTTGTAATAATTTGTAGCTATGACCCACACCCTGGACCCTGATGGTGGCAGGTAGGTGTTAGGCTCGGCCACCCTGTCCTACAGCTCTGTCCTCTACCGTCAGGCTCAAGCGTTGATCTTTTCAAACCTCCTCAGCTCTGAACATATCACCCACATAGCCTTCCTACAAGGGGGTTATCAGAATAAGAAAATTTGGAAGTATATTTAAATTTTAAAAGCTCAATGTCAAAAAGGAATGGCCTAATGAAATAAATGTGATGGGTCACGAGTTCCACAGTCTTTTCTTGCTAGTAGAGGATGCTAGGTCATGTACCCTGAATAACAACTTTTCATATTACTGCTTATGGAGATGCCAAGATGAACAATTTTTACCCATCTTAACCTAAGTCCTGGAAATATCTAAGCAAATTATAACAATTTGTAATAACTTTACTAAATTTTGATTAGGTTCCTAATGGGGGAGAGAAAAAAAAACAAATAAATCCTATAAGAATACAAAGAGAGGAATTTTCAGAAGAAATATTAAACCATTTTCTTGCCTGAGGACAGAAGATACTTTTAGAGATTGTTTGTAAAGTAAATCAATTTCCCTTCATCATCAGCACACACTCAATTTCTCCATGCATTCAGCGAAAAAACTCTGAAGTCCTGGGTAATAAAAGGAATTCTCACAAAGCACAGCCTGTTTTGTGGTCTGTGGGGACTGGCATGGCGCAAGGCAGAACAGGATCTGATGGACCAAATCCAGAAAGGGAAAGTGTTTGCCTGTCCCCAGAACTCAGTAAGTGGTTCCTCCCCAGGCTGGTGATGACATTAGGTAGAATCAGTCACCTGAGAAAATAACCCTGCCAGGAAAATTAAAGCCTTTTGATGTACCCCACATTATGTGCACAGTGCTTTATTTAGAAGCCAAGTTAATGGGACCCTCCAAGGACACAGACCAAGAAAGGGCCTGAAATTAAAGATGTGAATTCAGGAAAGCCTAACTGGATCATCCATCAAATGAAGATGCATGGAAAACTGTACTTTATTTTATTATAATATGTATCAAGCTGTATCATAAGAGAAAGCATGCTGCCACTTTTTTTTTTTTTTTTTTTTGAGATGGAGTCTCGCTCTGTCACCCAGGCTGGAGTGCCGTGGGGCGATCTCGGCTCACTGCAACCTCTGCCTCTCAGGTTCAAGCAATTCTCTGCCTCAGCCTCCCGAGTAGCTGGGATTACAGGTGCCCACCACCATGCCTGCCTAACTTTTTTTGTATTTTTAGTAGAGACAGGGTTTTACCATCTTGACCAGGCTGGTCTTGAACTCCTGACCTCGTGATCCACCCACCTCAGCCTCCCAAAGTGCTGGGATTATAGGCATGAGCCATCATGCCCCGCTGCTACCACATTTAACAGCCTTGGCTAGCAAGAAAAGACTGTGTGGAGCCCAGGACCAGTGAAATTTACTCCATTAGGCTATTCCTTATTGACATCAAAACTTTATAAATATACTTCTAAGTTTCCTTATCCTGATAACCCTTTTGTTGTAGAAAGGGTGATATGTTTGGAGCTGAAGAGGTTTGAAAAGCTCAATGCTTGAGCCTGGCAGTAAAGGACAGAGCTGTAAGATGGGGTGGCCAACCCCCAACATCTACCTCCCACCATTGGGGTCCAGGCTGTGGGTCACAGCTACAAATTATTACAAATATTTGCTCTCCTCCATTCTTCTATCTAGCCTGTCTGCATCAATTTAAAAAGAGCCAGTTAAAATGAACAAATTAAGAACCTTCACCTACCTATGTGGCCACAGTAAGTAGTTTGATAATACAGATGTTATTTCCCCCCATCTTATGCCAGTTGGATGTGCTGACACCTTTTAATGAGTTGGAGATTGTTATTTTCTTCCCACTGCCACCTTATGTATCCTCTCCAAAGAGAAAGCTCTGAGCTCTCTGACATGAGGCCGCTCCTTCTTTCCCTCTCAAACTCCCATTGCTCACCCTGCCGCTCCACTACTGCACCTGCCTTTGTTGCCCAAAGTGTTCTAAGCTCCAATATGTGGCTCTCAACCATCTGGGGTCGTTGGACGCTATTATTGCCTGGGTCCTCCCCTGAAGATTCTGATAAACTGGGTCTTGAGTGGGGCCAGGACACTGGTGTTTTTTAATCCACCCACACCCCAGGGATTGTAAAGTACTGAAAGGGTGGGGACCCATTTCCTCTGTTGCTTCCGGTCACTCTGGCCTTTGTTCTGAGGCCTTCATACCAGCCGGGCTCCCTCCGGCCACAGTTTGGAGTAATTGTAACAACACTGGAATCCCTGTTCCTCCCCCGCACAAATAAAGGTCTTTGATCCTATCCAGGATGGATTATCTATCAAATCACTGCCTCCTCCTTATCCCCAACCCAGGGATACATGTGTGGAAATGAGTTCAAGGCAGACGGCCCTGACAACCATAAAACCTCCCTCCGAAAATGATCTACGGGCCATCCTGGGAGGGAAGCAAATTAAAAAATCCAACATTCCCAACCATGCCTCTGGTCCTCTGCCTGAAAGCTTTCTGCCTTGCTTCTTGGCCAAAATTTAGTAATTGAAAGTGATTTAATTCCTCCATTAAAATGGAGGTAAGCGAAAGAGAGGAGGACCCAGGCTGAGGTGGAGAAATACCGCCTTTCAGGGCATAGAAGTATTTATAGTACTTTGTGTAAAAGTATATCTAAAAACTATACATCAAGAGGCATGTTTTGCCTTCTTGGGATTCCGTCACCAGAATAGCACACTTCAAAAACTGTGCAGTGAGGCTACTAAGAAATCGAGAGCATGAGTGCATGTGTACGTCAACCAACTTCAAATGGAATCACAGCTCCTCATGTTCATTTCATTAAAATGAGTCTTACTCAGTAAAATTTCCCTTTTATAACACAAGTCCAAATCTTGGAATGTTTTCACATGAAGTTTACAGTGTTTCTTCATCACCCAATAAAACTCTTTGATTTCTTCCCGCCGCAGACAGTTTTAAGAGCCTTCATTTCACATGGTGTTCTCGGTATGCTTTTTAATTTTTATTTTAAGTTCATTTTTTATCACTGCATCTCCTGTCTCCCACTCAGAGCCTAAGTTCAGTCCAGTCTCCCCCAGCCCACTGGCTTCCTGCAGTGGGGCATGCTGGCGGAGGCTCAGAGGGGCCTGGTGTTTCCTAAGGTGAGGTAAGGTGTGGTACCCTGGACTGCAGGAATATTTAGAGATCTGCACTGAGACTCACTGAGCAAAACACTTAACCTCCTAATGGTTTATCTTTCTGCATCTTCCCTTCCACAGGAAACACACACAGTGCAAAGCAGAGTGACTTTTAAAAAGCTACCTCTGAGGTAGCAGTGAGCCGAGATCGCCCCACTGCACTCCAGCCTGGGCGACAGAACGAGACTCCATCTTAAAAAAAAAAAAAAAAAAAAAAAAAAAAGCTACCTCTGAAAAGCAAGGAGATACTACAAAGCTCTTAAAAAATGTCTTTGAATGAATCCATTTGTAGTATATAACACAAACTTCATAAGTAAAAAACTAATGAGTTATGACTGCCCCCAGCATTTAGTCACCTGGTCCAGTTTATTCAAAGTAGGCTGGTGAACCTGCAGTGGGGACATCCCCTAGAAACCTGCTAAAAATGCAGAACCTCAGCCCCTTCCCATCACCCACCTATTCAAAATCTGCTCTTTAACCAGTCGCCAGGTGGTTCCCATGCACCTTAGAATTTCAGAAGCGTTGACCTAGTTAATATATGTCATGAATTGGTGTGAAGAAACATTTTATAAAATATGTGTCCTGGCCTCATGTGTCTATTTACATCTTGCCTCCATCCACAAGGGCTCTGAAGAGCTAATCTCATACTTGGGTAACTCAGAGGGAAGCCAGTAAGGAGTGGGGAGGGAGTCAGAGACTAAACTCAGCAAGGACTGCATGCTGCTGGCCTTGTGGGCAGCTGTCAGTGGAGACCCAGCACTGTGTGGAACATCCATGAGCTGCTCAGGTGGCTCAGGACTCCCGCCGGGGCTCAGAGAAGAGCATGCATGACTAGGTATCATGTGCCTGGAACTCTCCATTAATCTCTGGGGTTGTCGGATTGTCCAAACTCAGGCCTCAGAGAAAAGCAACATCTAGGCGCACAGAGAGGATGAAATCCAAAGCAAAGCAAGCTCTAGAGAACTAGGAATGTATTCTGATGGGCCCCAAAATACAAATTATGCAGTCAGGATTAATGCAAAGAATACAGTTAGGATTAATACAAGTGCTGTAACGTGGCTATGATAACAGTGGCTATCAACTTTAGAGACAGTAAGAGTCATTGTATTTAGCACCGTTCTTACAAATCAAAATTGAGAGGCTGAAGGGTGGAGTGGGGGAGGGATGGGGATAGAGGAGCTGTTGATTAAAGGGTACAAAGTCTCAGACTGGAAGGATAAGTTTTAGTGAACTATTGCCTGCCTTGGTGACCATGGTTGTTAATAATGTATTGTACGTATTTCAAAAATGCTAAAAGAATAGATTTTTAACATCCTCACCACATAACAGTGTTAAGATGGTGAGGTGGTGGTTGTGTTAATTAGCTTGATTGACCCTTTCTACAAAGTATACATAGATCAAAACTTCATGCTGTGTCCCACGAATATATACAACTGTCATTTGTCAGTTAAAAATAAATTAATAAAAAACGTTAAGTACACAGCTAGCACATACTTGCCAACACCCTTGATTGATCTGTGCTTTTACTCTTAAGATATGTTTAAGCCCTCCTATATGAAGAACGTGAATACCTAGCTGAACTCTTCGGGTTCCTGTCTCATTGTCCTTCATTTGATTGTGGACATTGGGGAAATATGCCAGTACTGTCCCAGTTATTCAAACATGGAAATACCTCCATACTGGCTGGTAAACAGGGGATGTTCTGAGACTCCCAGGAGCTCCTCCCACCTGCCGACTTTGCCTCCTCTCAGCCTCAGGACTGCCCTAGGACCGGTAACTACAGGGTCAATATCTAGCAGGGAAGGGGCCCCCAGAACCCTGCTCCAATGCAGTACACTCTGATATGTGAGCAACTGTGGACTCCCAGTTATTAGTGTACAGACCAGCGAACAAGGGTGTCATATGAAGGCACATGGCCACAATAGGCTGCTGGTTATGTAATTTTCAATATTTAAATAAGAAGTTTTTAAAAATATTTACATTATCCCTGCAAGTTAATTATTAGGTAGGTAATCAGAGTGTGTTTTGAAAGTCAAGGACAGAGCAGTAGACAACAGTAAAGAAAGGTAGGTGAGTTATTACCGGCAATGCCTTTGCCTACCTTAGGGCCTGGGATAGTGGCCCTGAAATTTACAAAGCTCCTTCCCCAGAAATGATTAATCAGTAGGTCTGGGTTGAAGCCCAAGAACATTTTTCATGAGCTTTGGGAGTGATTCTGATGCACGTGTTCCAGTTTTCTACTTTCAGAAAACTGATGGAATTCCTACTTATTATTCAAGACCCAACTCAGGAAAGTTTCCCTTTGTGAATTCTTTCTTAAACACTCCCCTCCCTTATGTTCTATGCTAAGAGGAGTCCACCTTCTCTCCACCTCTGTTGATCGTGCATCTTTGTGGATTTGTGTTGAATGATTTGTTTGCATTTCTGACCCAACCAAGGCATCTCAGTATCTCTAGCATCTAACTCAGTGTCAGCTCATGACAGACACTGATCGACTGTTTTATTGATTAGAAAGTCGGATGCGGGGAACTGATGCCAGGCTGTATTTACTGAGCATCTCAACCACCTGTATTTAAATTTTTGTCAAGGGCTGCCATTGCATGCCTCTATTACATCCTCCTCAACATCACACTTTGATGTCCAGCTCCCAAACTCCTGTGATACCTACAAGTCCCAGGTCTGTGCAGGGCAATCTGTTGTCCTGTACCACTAGAAAAAAAGCTAAGTCTTCTCAGACCTTTGTAGAAATTCAAATGTTTGTGTCACCAACAGCATCTGAAACTCTGTCCTCAGTATGGTTTTTGAAGTAATTTACTATTTGGCCACCTTCTGAAACTTCGTAGACCTGCTTAAAATCAGAGCATGTACTATAAACATTCATTTGCTTAGTGTATATATTTAAGATCTATTATTCATATTTCTGCGTTGGCCATAACTTCTTTAGCATGCTTTAACGTATTAGCACAGAGAGATAGTTCATGAACACTTTTGATGATGGGAAATGAGGTTACGTATTGTTGCTGCCACATTTTACTTTATTATGATTATGGAAACTAATTTTGCCAGAAGGCAAGAGCAGGCCGTAGCTCTTTCCTTTGAAATGCCTGATTAAATTTATTCGTACAGGCGGGCGCTGTGGCTCATGCCTGTAATCTCAGCACTTTGGGAGTCTGAGGCAGGTGAATCACCTGAGGTCAGGAGTTTGGGACCAGCCTAACCAACACAGTGAAACCCCATCTCTACTAAAAATACAAAAAATTAGCTGGGCATGGTGGTGGGCCCCTGTAATCCCAGCTACTAGGGAGGCTGAGGCAAGAGAATCGCTTGAACCCAGGAGGCCGAGGTTACAGTGAGCTGAGATTGCGCCATTGCACTCCAGCCTGGGCAACAAGAGCAAAACTCCATCTCAAAACAAAAAAAAAATTTCTTAGTTTATCACCTAGCCCAACATCCAACCAGGTGCTAAATAATGTCTTTGCATTTTACTATTAAGGTCCTTTACAATATTTCTAATGGCAACTAAGTAGCCAATCCAACTAAATATCATATCTGTCACTTTAATGTCCCCTCAGCTTTAAAATTCTAGGATGTCACAGAAGCTAGAAGAATGCGAGGCAGAGAAGCACGCTCAGAAGCTTTGTATGGTTGCAAGAAACTCCTTCTTGGGTGCTTTTCCAAATATCTCTGCCCTTGGAATTTGTCTTCTGATGTGATTATGATATAGCAAAATGTCTTTATGACAGATTACAGAAAAAAGCAAGATGCTTGTTTGGCTGACTGTGCTGCTTATTGATTTATTTAGTGTTTTTAGTTCTTCCCCATTTCTCAGCAGGTGAGGGCTTCGCTTGGGTTAAGTTCTTAGGTTCTCCTTACTGCATTAGGAACTGTCAACAGGGAAATCGTTCTACTGGGGACTTTCTCAACAAAGTTTCCCATTCCCCTCCATACAAAGGGAAGGGAAGATGATGGGAGTGGTCTGGAAGTTCTTCTCAAGTTTCTTTTCAAGCATTGCTTGGAGGTAGTAATCAGTGAGGCGGGATGGAGGTATATAGAGTCTGAGCTTGTAACACATGCCCCTCCAGGTCCTTTTCAAATTCCTGGTCCCAGTCAGCCGTGGCAATGAGCCTGTCTTCCCTCTTTAAGCAGGGAGCTCAATTTGCTGACTCAAATAAGAATAACAATCTCTTATTCTCCATGGCAGGAAATTGCTGTTTTAGTGAATAAAACCAAAACAAACCCAAAAAGTAACATTTTTTTTTGTTGTGTAAATCAGCTATTTATTTTTCTTGTTGGCTGAAGGCAGAACAAGAAGAAATCTGAAAAAAAAAAAAAACTTAGGTTTAACATCACATTTAATTTTATGTTACAAAGAAATTATGGCAATGAAAGGAGTTTGCCTCCTAGTCCATTTGGTTAGAAAGGTAACTGTTTTGTATTCCCAACCATACAATTTACCACAAAAGAACACAGAAGCCCAAAATAAGACAGAGAAAAAGAAAATTTCTCAAATTATATAATTCATTTGAATTGGGGGGGAAAAAAAATTAAAGAGGATGTAGCCCAATCAGCTCAACTTGGAGGCTGAGGTGAATAGGTCAGGAGTTCAAGACCAGCCTGGTCAACATAGTGAAACCCTGTCTCTACAAAAAATACAAAAATTAGCCGGGCATGGTGTTGTGTGCCCAGGCCCAGCTACTTGGGAGGCTGAAGCAGGAGAATCATTTGAACCTGGGAGGCGGAAGTTCCAGTGAGCTAAGATCGTGCCACTGCCCTCCAGCTTGGGCAACAGAGTGATACTTTGTCTCACAAAAAAAGGAAAAGAGAAAATGAGATTCTACCCAATTTCACCTAATTACAGGAAATTTCAAAACTGTTTAAAATGTTTCTGCCAAAAAAGTTGACTGTTGATAATACTGGTTAACACTGATGATCTTTTCCACACACCTTCATCTTTAAAAATGTCATAGGACATCGCAATATATGATTTTTTCCTCTCATTAAACATCCAACCATCACAATGCACTTTTCAAAGGCACACACAGTTCTTAACATTCCATCTGTTATTATACACTGGTTTTCTGTGATGTTTAGAAGAGTAGGCAACTGTAGATTAATTTGTGTTAGATATTTTTATAAGGATGACAATTAATTTATGTTTTGGTATCAGGTTGCGATAGTGAGAATCATGTTCTTCATCACTCTAAAGCAATTTTTTTTTCCAGAAAAAAAACCCCAATGAAAAAAAGGACATATTGGAGGTGATGGGTAAGTTTAGTAACTTGATGGTGGTGATGGTATCACAGGTGTATGCATATGTCCAAACTCATCAAAATGTGTATATTAAATATGTGCAATTTTTTATATATAAACTTATACCTCAATGAAGCTTTTTTGAATATAGATATAATAATGGACAGGATTATGAAAACTATATTAGCACCTATGGTTTTTATAGAGAAACTTTAGCCTTGGGCTAGACAGCTCGTGGGAGCCCGGAGAGGCTGGCCTACTTTCTTGATTTGCAGAGGGTCCCACTTGGAATTCTCCAAGGAGGAGAGAGGCACAGTATCACCCAGGGTGTGTATTTCCATAGGAAGCCACAACAATGCAGACTGGCTCTTCCTCCTTCACAGAGAAACATGCCGAACTACACCCGGAGCAGTAATAAGTAAATCGGTGCCCACGATGAGGTGACAGTTGGCCTCTGCAGCAAAAACACACGATCACAGATGGAAAGTTCAATTATGGGTATTCCAAGAACCGAATTAAAGTCTGTTTTCAGTTAGGAGCCTCGTATAAAGCGGGGCTCCATCTGTATTTACTACATGCAGCTGTGTCTTTCTCAAAGTGCTTAATGAACTTTTTCTTCTTTGTGAACGTCCACTCGCATACAAAGTTAGCAACCTGAAGTAAATATCCCAGGAAGATACCTGCACAAAGCAGCACGGGACAGCACGTTTCTCTTCCTCTGTTCACCGAGAGGCATTACATACTCCATCCTCACATCCTGAGCTATTTCACCCAACTGCAGAAAATAGATCTAAACTGTGAAATAAAAAATTGCTTTAAAAATAGTAACTTTTCCCAACTATTCTGGTCATATCTCATTATTTTCATGTATTAAAATTTAGACCACAGTATAAATATACTTGAATTTCACATTTAATGAGATCAGTTCAATTTGGCATTTAACAATCACTATAAAATTTTTCATTTTGATTTAATTCAGTTATATAGCAATATATTTTCAAACTGATCTCATTATTGGTCGCACACATTTACACATACACAGCAACATCAGTCAAATTGCAACACGAAAAGTTCGAATGCCATTACGTTGCTGTTCATTTTCTATTCACCGCCACAGAATTAGTTATACTGGCATGAACTTCTCCTAATAGAGAAGTCGTGTTATTTAAAATAAGTAAGTTCGGTTCCCAGGTAGATGCTATAAAAAGTGTTAAGCACATTTTATGAATTCTACTTTTAGTTAGTATCACCCCCAAATTTTTCTCCACTAAAAGTTGTGACAATAAATGTCAAAGTCAAATGTGGTTTTTCTTTTGAATTTTAAAGAAAATGAACCAAATAAAGATTACAACACCTAAGAAAATCCACATTCTGTAAACCTGAGACTCCAGCTGCAAAAAAATCAACAAATCAAAATCCTAAAATCTGTTTTTCAAGTGATTAAGTAACTAAGACTAATTTATTATATAATATGGAAATACATATTTTAGTGAATAGCATACCATTCATAAGCATCATATTTTTATTAAAATCTTGTTTAATCATATTCACATTCACAGAATGTATATAATCTTTTCCCCGGATGATTTAATATCTTTATTAAAACTCAAAAATAGAAATTTTGATGGTATTAATTTCAAACTTATATGGAAACATACTTTCTCAAAGCAATGTTTTATTTTGACAATCAATAATGTTAAAGTTGGTTTCCTTACTAAGTTCAAGTAATAATCAAAGGACACCAACTCCAAAATAAAAGTTGGGAAAGTTGACAGTGAATCTACAAACATATTCATACTTAGAAATAATAAAAATGTGTGCCTCTGAGTACTATCCTTGATGAAAACCTCAGTTATAAAAGTTTGCCTTTGAGTATTACATTTTCTTACATTCTCCAGTTTGTGAATGATTTTTCAGAGAACACAAAGGAGCTGATCTTTGCTCACCAAAGTTCAACTTCACAGATTTGCCATACAATGTAAATTTCATCGCCATTTTGTCTATGGGAGAAAAAAAAATCATGGCTCACCTTTCCATTTCCTCTGCTAAGTAGAGGAATTATCCAATCTCAAAAAAGTATGTTTACTTTGACTTATACCGTTAGTCTCAGTCAGCCCCAAAGTAAATCGGCTATTCTAATATGCTTAGGGATTCTGGAAACGCTCAGCTCTCCCAAAGGTTGTTGTTTTGGTTACACCCAGAACTATACGTTCCAGTCCACTTAGTCTTTTGACTTATTACTTTGTACTCCGACTCATAACTAATAGTCCCTGTTCCCATGAAGAAACATGGTTCCCTCAAGGCAGAAGTCAGCATTATAGAAAAGCCTGGATTCCCCTTCTGGCTTCTGCATTTCCCTGTATTTGCTCATAGTCTTAAACACAGTATCTGATTTCTTTCTAAATAAGCTACTATTGTAAAAACTTGAAAATGTTTAACCTCCCTTCTCAAGCCATGTGCCTATAAAATTTCAGATTGTCCCCATTTCTTAGAAGATACTTTGCCTTCTTCAGCTTGATAATAACAGAATGATCATGGTTGCTAATGGTCTTTATCCTGTTAGTGGTGCTCATCATTTATGTTTAATCAGAACACCTCGCTGCTATTGGACATTTCTTCCCATTTTGGCATCATAACCCTCCATCAGTCTTCTCATCTACTAGTCTACTAGGCATCTATTAACAGTGAACTGAGATGTCTTCCTTTTGGAAAACTCGTCAGCCCTTTCTACTCAACTCTGCCCAATCATTCCAAAATTCGGTCTTTATTCCTATCACACAATGTTAAGTAGACCTTAACATCTGGTCATGCTGTAAGAATCTCGAACTTTACTTATCAAAAAGAAAACATAATTTTACATCAACATCCTACACTCCGTATTAGCTTGCCTTCCCATTGTTTCAATTTCTGTCAGTGGTGCCATGAAACCCATGTCTTATTCATGGATCTGCCTGTAAGGTACGGGGTCCCACTTAAAGCCAGACAGAGCCAGATCTGTGCTTTGCACCTTACCACTGGGCATATCTCACGAAGGAGGTTCACCACCTTAGAATTCAGGGCCATTGCAAGCCCCAGGATTGAGGTTCATGAATGGCACCAGGAATTCAACAAGCAAGCAAGCACAGCACATGGCAAGCCACAGAAACGCTGCTGTGCGCTTCCATTTGAGCTCGCGTTCTGCACATTTTTCTCTGGCAACCTATGTGATTCTAACAACCCTTCTCAGTCAAGGGTTGAGAACAATTGCCCTAGGGTTAACTTACTAATGTACCATCCCTATAATTTGTAAAGCTTGTGCTAAGTGGAAAGTGAATTCTATAGCCCCAGCCAAGATTTCTCTTTCAGGTTTGGTTAACAATGTTCAATTCACCAAACTTTAATAGTAGGTATTGGGAGGTGCTAGGATTGACAGCAGCGAAATATACAAAATACTCTCCTGGTCCTCAAGAAACTAATAGTCCAGAGCTGAAATAAAATAAAATGTTTCACACTTGAACACACATTTTATTAAAACAATAAATAATTTCTTTAAAATATAAAAATATTTAAGCAGTAATTGGCTATGCTGACATTTCTGTTTATAAGAGATGTCCACTTGGAATAAGATAAATAAAACCCTGTCAGTTGGAGGCATCAAAAATATATTCTTAAAAATTAGTGACTTTTAAGTACTAATATAAAGCTTCTCTCACTTGAAAGTTTTCTGACACTGAATGCTGCTTCCAGATTTGCATGACGCCTCACTCCTGCAGGCTGCGTTGAATAAACATAGAAATTGATCCTCCCAGTGTTGGTGTTAAAGCTCTCAAGCCATGTGGTTCCTTAGGAGATTGAAATCAGCCCAATTGTCACACAGAACAGATGTTCATAGTTTCCTATTAGAAATTTACAGCCCCCACTCCAGACCCAGTCTTAAAACTTAAGAAAGTTACATTTTTCTTATCTGAGTCCCTTTCTCAGGAAACCATCAGGTCCCTCAGACAGTATCAAAGAACTAAAACTTACCAGGTCACCACCACATCTGGACAATGAAATGCCAGCCACCTCATCCGTCGTGATTATCTAAACAACCACTTCCTTCCTGCTGACCAACTCTTCTTCCTTACCCATCCCTAAGTCCTGTTTTACATTTCTTCACTGCTACAAAAACCTCGAATTTCAGCCCGTTAAGGAGATGGATTTGAGACAAATATCCCACCTCCTTGGCTGCAGCACCCAAAGAAAGCCTTCTTCCCTGGCAAGACTCGAAGTCTCAATGATTGGCTTTCTGTGCTGCAGCAGGACCTAGACCAAACCCCTGGTGTTCCAGAAATAAGATTAGACTTTCGGTATTCTTTAAAGCTGGTGTTTAAAAAGATGAACAGAATAAAGGGCTGTGTTACAGCACAGGCTGTCTTATAGAAATCTATAATATCACCAGTAATTTGTTACCAGCAACGTCTGAGGTACTGAAGTCTTGCCAGCCTTTGTTTTCAAATCAGTGGTTTCAGGCTTATTCCTTATAATAACATATCTTGCACTCACTTGTCTCTAGGAGTGTTTTCCTGAGTAGGAGACACAGGGGAGGATCTGTGGCCATTCTGCTGACTTGCGTATAACCACATACAGCTGTGTACATGAGACCAGGCTGGGAACATCCTCCATGTGAGCCGCAACAGAAAATGACAAGATCCTCCACTCCAGGTTCATATCAGTCCATTAATCCAAGCGTATCAGTGCCACAACTTCACCCAACTGTTGTTACCCATTTCTCATGCTTCTGAATTTCCCACAGGGACATGGTAAGAAACTGAACTGCATAAATTAATCTAATTCATGTATTGCCATCAACAGCTAGTTTAGTAACTATAAAGAAAAGGAAATAAAATGACTTTAGCATGATATTTCTTAATGAACTCAAGTTACAAATAATTTTTCGTGCTCTGGATGTGTTAGCATCCCCCCACCTTCATGCTCAGGGGGTTCCATATTCTAAATAGATTTCAATTACTTCAGAATCTTCTTATTAAATGTTCTTGCCTATGGCTCAATAGAGATGAAATGAAATGAGGGGAAGACGCTCCTCTTATTTTCAAACTTTGCACTAATATGACATAGGAGGACAATTTCCTGTTTATCCCACATGAGATCTGCTATGCGGTGTCAGCTCCATGGAAGGGCCACAACTGCAGAGGAACACACATCAACGGGGCAGCACTTATCTGATAAGCTAAGAGGGGCAAAGATGTTTTGGAAGGGCATCTGAGACATGCATTTAGCATGTAACATTATCCACTAACTGAAAGCCATTTTTAACAATACTGAAGTTGAGTATCTTTTTTTTAAAAAAAGGCAAATTTTAAGGTATATAACTTTAAAGTAGGCTTTAAGAATTTCATCTGAAAGAGCAACATATAAATGATAAATATTTTTCAGAATAACTAATGCTCTTTCATGCAATCATCATATCCTTGACAAAAGGTGCTTCAGTAAAGATGTAAATCATGAAAACACAAGTTATACATTATGCAGGTACATACGTATCAAGATACATTAAGAGTTGGTCATATGAAGTAGATTTTTCTTATCCTTTGTTTTAAAAGCAGAAGAGGGACTGCTGTTAACTGGTTTATTTAAAGAAAGCATCCCCATGTTTCCACTAATACTGTAATCTAAGGCCCTCAAGCACGGATGCCCCCTCCCTTAACAACAGCTTCATCATGTTCTGGAGCTCATGTTCAGCAGAGGCCACCTGAGATGATAAATGACCTTTGTGGAGAGAAGCTATAAATCTAAGCTGGCTCCCTTTTGTCCATCAGCGGCAGTCATCAGCTGTGTTCGGTAGCACTCATGTACTCTCTCTGACACTCAGGTCCTGGCTAGCAAATTCCAGAAGATGGACCACATATGGGTAGGCTTGCCCAGCCCTGTGTGTCTACTTCAGGCCATTTAAACTCAAGGAGAGAGCCAACAGGCATTCAAAGTACATCGCCAGTGATGTAAAATGTCAAGTGATCTCTGACTTGCACTAAACAGAGCAATGATGACAACGAAAACCCAGCAAATTCACTAGTCTATGACATTCATGTTTTTGAGAAACAGATTTTAATGATCACAAAAGTCATAAGCAATAGTTTCTAAACTTAAGCTAAGCAGAATCAAACAAACAGAATCTCCAATAATTTTGAGACACACTAAGTGGGACACCGAGGTTAAGAAGGCCCAGATGAGATATGCCTCTCTTCACAGAGCCAGACTGCTGCATCAGGCTTTCACACACCAAGACGTTATGGAGAAAGGACTGGACACAAGCTACTCTCTGCCATCACTCAACAAAGTACCTTGCTTCAAGCCTTCAAAAGTCCTGAAGACAGCAGGCTATTCAAATCCACAAAATGTTAACTCCTGGATGGGATCCTCGTTCTCAAAACCAATGATTAATCTACACCCAGGATGCTGGGTTCTCATCCCATTTCTGCTAACTAGCCATGTACCCTCGAGGAAGGCATTTAATATCTCAAAGGCTATGCTTCTCTGTCAAATGAGCATACTTCCTACCGGATCCAAAGATTATTGTGAGGCCAAGATACAATGACACATGTGAAGGTGCTTTTGGAAAGAGAAAAGCAACATAAATACTAACCCGATTTAGTCTTCCCATCAACAAGCATTTTCAAGTTCTGCACAAACGGAGCAGTGCAAAGAATCCTCTCTCCAGGGCCCAAAGAGAAGATTCTGTGTGTGTCTCAGTGCAGAGTCTTTGTCACTGCTTGGTGAAACAGGAGGCCCGTCCACGCATGGCCCTGATACTTGGAACAACATTCTTCCTTTACATAACAGGAGGCACAAAGCTGTCCTGGTATTATGTTAGAGAGAACTCACTCCCCACCCCATGAGTCAGGGCAGGATTTAACAGCCAGGAATGCCCTGGGGAGGTCATTGAGGACCCGCTGAGCCAGGTGGTACAGCCAGTACCTTTTAAAGGTCGTATCCCATATTTAGGCCTACGCGTAGGCTGGCAAAGCTGCCCTGACCTCCCATTCAGTAGGGAATCTGCCTTTGTAAAAATTCCTCTTCAAAACACAAATAAATCAGGGACACTCCTACTCAAACCCAGGGTGAAGAATAATTTGTCTTGGGTGAAAAATAATATAAGCCCAAACCACAATGAGATAGTATCTTATACCCATTAGGATGGCCACTGACAAAGAAAATAGCAAGCATTGTGGAAAAACGGGATGTGGAAAAATGGGAACTCCTATGCACGGCTGTTTGGAATGTAAAATAGTGCAGCTGCTATAGCAAGCAGTGTGGAAGTTCCTCAAGAAATTGAACATGGAATTGAGGTAGGAGACCAGTAGGACTTGTTTCCCAGACCCAGACAGAGGAAGTGAAGAAACCAGCCAAAACCAGCAGATGGCGACCAAAGCAATTCCTAGCTGGCCCCATTGCTCATTAACATAACACATCCCACCAGCCCATGATCACATGACAGTTCACAAATGCCATGGCAATGACCCAGAAGTTACCACCCCCTTCCTAGAAAGTGCTAAGTAACCTGCCCCTCAGTTTCCATTAACTCACCCCCTAATTTGCATGTAACTGAAAGTGGGTTTGAAGGAGTATAAATACAGTTGCCAATAGCCCGTACATTGCACTCTGGACGCACTGCCTATGAGTCAGCCCTTCTCTGCAAAGAGCAGTACCATTCGATTAACAATTGCTGTCTAATGTCACTGACTTACCCTTGGATTCTTTCCTGGGCAAAGTCTCAGTTTGAGGGTTCATCTGTCCTGCATCAGAGTTATATGACCCAGCAATTCTACTTCTGAGTATACATCCATGAGAACTGAAAGCAAGGATCTGAAGAGCTATTTGTACACATGTGTTCATAGCAGCATTACTCAGAGTAGCCAAAAGGTGGAAACAAACCAAGCATCCACTGATGGTTTGCTGAATGGATGAGCAAAATGTGGCATTTACACACAATAGAAGATCATCCAGCCTTAAAAAGAAAGGAAATTCTGATCCATGCTACAACATGGATGAAACTTGAAGGCTTTATGTTCAGTGAAATAAGCCAGACACAAAAAGATACATTCTGTACCATTCCATTTACAGTAGTCAAATTCATAGAGACAGAAAGTAGAATAGTGTTTCCCAGGGGCCGGGGTCAGGGAATAGGAAGTTGGTCTTTAACAGGTATAGAGCTGAGGTTTTATAAGGAGAGAGTTCTGGAGATGGATGGTGGTGATGGCTGCCCAACAATGTGAATGTGCTTAACGTCACTGAACTGTACATTTAATGGTTAAAATAGTATTTTATGTTCTGTGTATTTTACAATTTTTTTTAAGTCATGAAAGCCACCACCCAGGCTACCATGACTGCCGCCCGAGGGATTCCAGAGCCTTTGCACTCTGGTCAAAGCTCTCTGCTGTCCCCCTTTTATTTCAAAAAAAACCTCCAGTATATATTTTTTTGTAAAGACAGAATAACAGAAATTACAGGAAGAATCCTTTAGTGATTCTGAGCATTGTGGACAAGCACATTGGTTAAGACAGCTAATTAGTTCTCTTTCCTAATTTCTGTTCCTCATCACCAAAGGATCTGAGGTTAAAACCACGTGGTCAGAACAACTATTTTTATGGACACAAAAATCAAAGGAATTTTCAAGTACTATAGTTAACCAAAACATCATACATCATCCCTTCATTGGGTTTTCATTTTGTCATAAGTTAAAAATTATCTTTATACCTGTATGTGTTAGCAAGGAGCAGAATGTACTTCAGTGTGATCCTGTTCGGATACATTTTTAAAGGAAAATACATATATGCTGGTGTGTACATTAAAATGTCTCAAAGAAATCACAAAAAGCAGTGTTTGTTATGCAGATGGAAACTTGAACTGGGGGCATAGATACTCTATTTTTAGCATTTTCTGTAGTTTGAATTTGTTACCATGTGCTAGCATGTGCTATTCATTCATTCATTCATTTATTCAGGATAAAAGCTGCCTATGCTCAGAGGAGTAAGACAGAGCCCTGACAGAAACGTCCTTATAACCTAGTAGGGGAAACTGATGCACACATTATTAGTTACCATGTGTGTACTGTGATTGCTCAAGAACCTGGGTTCAAATCCTGATTCGCTGTTTCTTAGCCATGTGACCTTGGACAAGCTATACCTTTCTGTGTCTCAATTTTCATCTGCAAAATGAGGACTGTAGTTCCTATCTGAGAGTTTTTATGAATATAAAATGAATGAATCTATGTAAAGCAGTTAGGACAGTGCTTGGAACACAGTAAGCTCTCAATAAATGCCCGATGTTACTATAGTAAAGATATGAGACAGGCATTACGCCAGTAAAAGAGGGATTTCTTCTCTCTAGACCCTGAGGTATCAGGGCTCAAAAAAAGAGATGCTTTTTAGCTAGGCCTTAATGGAAAAGTGGTGTTCGGCCAGGTAAGAGGAGGGGAAGGATGTTTCAAGAGAAGGGGACAGCATGAGCAGAGGCAGGTTGGTATAACTGCCTGGTTAGCAGCGACGCAGGCAAGGTGAACTCCTGAACTTTCCTTCCAGAAGCGTCTCAAGGAAATGAAGAAGAAAGGGCAACTTTGTTGGTTTTTAAAGTCCAGTACGTCATTTGTGTAAAGTCTGACCCTTCCTATGGCATTTCAGACTCACTTGTTAAATTTGCTTTTTACAATCTTCTTGGTAGAAATTCACACCTGATCAAACATCTGTAAATGAGCTGGTATAAAAAATGAAAATCCTGAAATATAAAGCAGACCCCTAAGCAGACCTCCAGAGCAGACACGCAGTATGCAGCGGGCCTCACACCTCTCGAAATCCAATTGACACCTGCTTCTGGGGCCGGGGAATGTACAACATGGCTGTTGGGCATTGGGAGATCCGTTCAGTATCCACTAAGTGGGGCTGGTCCTGCAGGTCACATTTCCCTGGCTCCCCCCAGACTTGGGATTAGACTGTAGCCTTGGGTTTCTCAACTTAAGGTCACACTAGAAACACCTACATGTTTGAGGTACTGCACTATGATGCCCTCATCCAATCCTCAGCAGAAACTTGTGGGCAGACATTATTTTTTCCCTTTAGTAGGAGAAAAACTGGGCCTCTGAGAAGTCAAGAAAGTTGCCTGAATTCATGATCAATAGTTCAGGATTTAGATCCGTGTCTTCTGACTCCACATTCAGTGCTCTTTTCACCGCCACATGCAGTGAAGTGCTTTACACTCAGCACCCGAAGATGTTGACTTCATAGGATCATTGTGCGAGAGATATAAGAAATCCTAGACATCGGCCAGGTGCAGCGGCTCATGCCTGTAATCCCAGCACTTTGGGAGGCCGAGGCAGGCAGATCACCTGAGGTCTGGAGTTCAAGACCAGCCTGACCAACATGGATAATCCCTGTCTCTACTAAAAATACAAAATTAGCCAGGCATGGTGGCACATGCCTGTAATGCCAGATACTCAGGAGGCTGAGGCAGGAGAATCGCTTGAACCTGGGAAGTGGAGATTGCAGTGAGCCAAGATTGACTGGCAACAGCAGTCAAACTCCAACAAAAAGAAAGAAAGAAAGAAAGAGAGAGAGAAGGAAGGAAGGAAGGAAGGAAGGAAGGAAGGAAGGAAGGAAGGAAGGAGGGAAGGAGGGAAGGAGGGAAGGAGGGAAGGAGGGAAGGAGGGAAGGAGGGAAGGAGGGAAGGAGGGAAGGAGGGAAGGAGAAAGAAAGAAAGGAAGGAAGGAAGGAAGGAAGGAAGGAAGGAAGGAAGGAAGGAAGGAAGGAAGGAAGGAAAGGGAAGGAAGGAAGGAAGGAAGGAAGGAAGGAAGGAAGGAAGGAAGGAAGGAAGGAAGGGGAGAGAAAGAAAAAGAAAGAAAGGAAAGGAAAGGAGGGAGGGAGAGAGGGAGGGAGGGAGACAGGAATCCTAGACATCTAGTGCTGCGGTCTCCAAACCATACACCAAGAATCCCCACCATGCCCATGATTCTAGATGCACTCCCAAGCATTCTCTATAGATTGAACAAGTCATAGATTGCTAGTAGCCTAGCCAATGTCCTCCCTTCTTCTATTCTAACAGATACCTGGATAATGTGCTCTCCTAAAAAACTATATCCTTTAGCCTCCTTTGAAGAAGGGGTAGCCATGGATAAATAAGCATAAAAAGTATAAAAACCTTTTGAGGAAAACTCTTTTCCCTTCCATCATCCTTCCTTCTTCAAGCTGCAGGAAAAGCAGATGTGGTAGGAGCTCAAGCAGCCACTTCAGGATCATGAAGAAAAGGTCAGAGAATTTCAGAGATCTTGTCTACAAACCAACACTTCTGGCTTCTTTATTGTGAGGGCCGATATCTTTATGTATAATATTTAATACACTATGCTTAGACCTCTATTTCTAGAAGCTGCATACAATTTCTAACTAAATATTAGCACACTACGGAATGTATGAGCATTGTTCAGATGTTTGTTTATATTGGTGTGGTTAGTAAGAATCAAATTTATTCAAAAGAACAACTGAATAAAAATAGCTATTAGTCGTGCATTTTCTCAACAGGAAATAACAAGGGCACAGCTACTATGATAAGGAAGTCTGTGAATGTTTTTCTTTTACATTAAGAAGGCCTTTTGATATGGCTAGAAGTCATTAGTCTCCTTTGATCTATAAAGTGACATTCTAAGACCAGTTATCTAGATCACGAAGTGATCCTCTTCCCACCATCCCACTGACGTGACTTGAGACTGTTCTTGCAGACAGACTGTATCAGCAAGGAGCGAGGGAAAACAGGGCACTTGCTTTGAGCAAAAGTCCCAGGGCTTCTTAGGGAAAGCTAGAACTCTCTACAAAAGGCTCTTCAAAGGGCAGGATGTGCAGCTAAATCCTGGGTTACATTCTTGAATCACATTCACCCACATACGTGAAAAAACACTCCAGTCAGCTTCACACATAAAAACCAGTACATTGAACTTTTATCAGTGAGAAAGGCGGGAGGGGAGGAGGACCAGACCAGTGCTATTAAAAAGAAACAAACCAACAACATTTCTGTAAACTGTTAAGGGTAAGGCGTAACCCCCCCCACACACACACACAAATACCTCATGTTTTATAACAGTTCTTTAAACAGTCAAAAGAGGGCCACCGTTTCACAGGTAACATTATGAGTCTGAAAGCCACTAACTACAGTAACTTCCTACCCAGCTACAAAAGTGCCCGTGCCAAATAATTTATTATTAACTCTCTGTGAAAATGTGTGGCATTTCATAGCCCTTGAATTTTGTGTCTCTGTTTGGTGATTTATTAATTACAAATGACATGTTATATCTCACGGTTTGTCTTTCTATTATTTTCATTAGCATAAACCCCCAACACTTCCAAGTTCAGGTAGATTACAAGTCCATAAAACAAAAAGAGAAAAAGCATGAAATTTGTTTAAAAAGCAGCACAAACTGTATCCCAGTCTTGTTAATTCAGTGACACAAATTAATAGCTAACAAAGTGAGGCTCAAGTGTGTGCCATATCAGATTCACAGCAACAAGCAGCATTTGTCAGCAGAAAAATTAGTCTGGGCTGGGTGTTCACGCCTGTAATCCCAACACTTTGGGAAGCTGAAGTGGGTAGATCACCTGAGGTCAGGAGTTCAAGACTAGTCTGGCCAACATACAGAAACCCGTCTCTACTAAAACTACAAAAATTAGCTGGGTATGGTGGCAGGAGCCTGTAACTCTAGGTACTCAGGAGCTGAGATCATGCCACTGCACTTCAGCCTGGATGAGAGAATGAGACTCTGTCTCAAAAAGAAAAGAAAAGAAAAAAATTAGTCTGTCTTTCTATCTATAAGATCTTTTATTTTTCTTTTCTTTTCTTTTTTTTTTTTGAGAAAAGGAGGTTTGCGGCTCACCGCAACCTCCGCCTCCTGGGTCCAGGCAATTCTCCTGCCTCAGCCTCCTGAGTAGCTGGGATTACAGGCACGCGCCACCATGCCCAGCTAATTTTTTGTATTTTTAGTAGAGACGGGGTTTCACCATGTTGACCAAGATGGTCTCAATCTCTTGACCTCGTGATCCACCCGCCTCGGCCTCCCAAAGTGCTGGGATTACAAGCTTGAACCACTGCGTCCGGCCCTCTACCTATAAGATCTAATAATATTTTTGCACATGTCTCTTAATCAGGTTAACAGCCAATCTGGAACCTTGTTTGCACTATTTAAAAAAAAAAAAAAAATCAAATCCTCTCCCTGCCAAAGAGAAGAAAGATAAACTTTAATCCAGTTCATTTTCTCTAATTATAAATTAGTAAAGTTTGACACCATGAGGTTATATTGTGTAACTGACTACGATGCCAGTGCTCTTGTATTTAAAGATTTGGGTTGTTATTAAGCTTGTAGCTCCTTTTTGAACAAATGAAACAAAGTCCAAATTACTGCTGATATGTTTGTATATATGTCAATAGGACCCTTCCAGTTCAAAACTCACCGCCTCAAATTATCATTTCCTACCTAGCTGTACTCCATGCTCTGCTCTTCTGTAAACCCCACTAAAATAATAGTAAAGGAATTTGTAAAATGGCAAACACGTGCACACACAGTGAAAAAAGACAAGGGAGGAGACAGTAGCAATAGACTTTTGGACAAGGAAGTGGTGATCAAGGACATGGGCAAGAAAGTTAAATCTTAAAATAACAGGACAAAGCTGAGAAGAAACTTTTCCCAAATAGCTTTTCAGGTGACCCATGAGGTCACCTGGAAAGCTATTTTTTTTAAGTCCTATTCCCAGAGATTATAATTTAACTGACCTGGTCTTTAGAATTTGTAAAGATTTCCCAGCTGATTCTAATAGACAGACAAGTTTAGAGACCATTGTTCTAACTTTTTTTTTTTAAAGCAGAGACTAAAACTAATGAAACAAAGCAAGTTGGAGGCAACAGAGATTATGCAAGAAAATGAGAACTTTAAAAATTACTCATTGATATTAGGTTAATACAAAGGTAATTGCGGTTTTTGCCATTAAAAGTAATGCAAAAAACTGCAATTACCTTTGCACCAACTTAATATCTTCAGGGAAATAAGAAAATGTATTAAATCTGTGTCACAAGAATAGGGTTCATGTAAAAGAAACATTCAGAGAATAAAAAGAAATTCTTGGAAATTAAGACTATGATAGTAGATAAGAAAACTTAAAGAAAGTTGCCACAATAGAGTAAAAAAGTCTCCCTGAAAGTAGAGCCACTAGATACAGAGAAGAAAAATAAAAGCAAAAGGACAGGAAATGTAAAGAACTAAACCAGGAGATCTAACACGCAAACATAAATAACAGGACTTCTAGAACAAGAATAAGAGAATGTGGGCTGGACATGGTGCCTCACACCTGTAATCCCAGCACTTTGGGAGGCCAAGGAGGGCGGATCATGAGGTCAGGAGTTCAAGACCAACCTGGCCAACATGGTGAAACCTCATCACTACTAAAAATACAAAAAATTAGCTGGGCATGGTGGCACATGCCTGTAATCCCAGCTACTTGGGAGGCTGAGGCAGAAGAATCACTTGAACCTGGGAGGCGGAGGTTGCAATGAGCTGAGATCATGCCACTGCACTCCAGCCTGGGCTGACAGAGCAAGACTCTGTCTCAAAAAAAAAAAAAAAAAAAGAAAAAGAAAGAGAACATGAAACTATCCAAGAAAGGTTCCCAGACTGAAGGATGTGAGTGCCCAGCAAATGTCCAGCACAATGGATGAACACCCATACAAAGCCTATCACTGTCAAATTTCAGAAAACCTAGGTGTTGTGAAAATGCATTCTGGGTACGTGACCTCAAAGTGAGTTGCAGGATGCAGTGACTGGGGCACCAAGATCATTGCTGCTGCCAGGAATATCTGACACTGCTTCAGGAGTGCTGACCAGACTGGAGGGAATCCAATTTCTTTAGTAGAAAGTAAATAGATTAAGAAAGCAACTGGATGGTTTAACACACCTTCGGTGACTTTTCTTTTCTTTTTTCTTCCCCTTCTCTTTCCGTGACGTAAAAGGTTAGAGAGGCATACATCGCAAGCTCGGAGATCTACCTCTTGTTTCTGCTACCCAAGGCTGCCTCAGATATAAATTCCTCCTGAATGAGCCTTTGACTACCTACCAACCTAGAGTGGTTTTGCTCTTTCTTCAGTCTGAACTTGCCCTCCACTTATGGACAGTGGTTCTTGGTTCTGGCAGAAACTTTTCCCAACACAAGGACAAAGAGAAGTTTCCCAAGTTGCTAGAGACAGAAAATATAGGTCACATCGAAAAGATCAGGATTCTGAACTTATTTAGACTTCTCAACAGCAGCTTGAAAGCTAGAAGACAATAGAAAACAAAGTCAAATGAACTATCCAAGTATATAGGTAAGATTAAGACACTTTCAGAAATGTAAAGTCTCAAAAATATACAACCCTGCATCATCCTTAGAAAACTACTGGACGATGTATTACACCTAAACAAGGAGTAAAATCAGAAAGGAAAGCAAAAGATACCTAACGGAGGTGATGCAACAAAAAGAGACAGGGTTTTCCAGACTGTTGGAGAGTTGAAATCCTCAGATGCCAGCTGTGCTTCAGACTTAGAGGGCAACTACTGTAATAAAGCCCAGATTGGTTAGAAATCTCTTGGAGAGATTTAAGAAGATAAAATTGATAGAATATTTAATAAATCTGAAGGTATGTAGAAAGG